ATGTGGTTTATATATACATTGGAATACTACTTGGCAATGAGAAAGAATGAAATATGGCCTTTTGTAGCAACATGGATGGAACTGGAGAGTGTTATGCTAAGTGAAATAAGTCAGGCAGAGAAAGACAGATACCATATGTTTTCACTCATATGTGGATCCTGAGAAACTTAACAGAAAACCATGGGGGAGGGGATGGGGGAACAAAAAAAGTTACAGAGAGGGAAGGGGGCAAACCATAAGAGACTCTTAAATACTGAGAGCAAACTGAGGGTTGATGGGGTTGGTGGAGAGGGGAAAGTGGGTGATGGGCATTGAGGAGGGCACCTGTTGGGATGAGCACTGGGTGTTGTATGGAAACCAATTTGACAATAAATTATATTTAATATGAAAAAAGTTTGTATCATTCCACAGTTGTACTGTGTGTTGTCATGTGCAGACAATCCTATCATCGTGCTAGGGCTAGAATTTTGATCTGAGGATATTAGTTTGACTTTGGAGGGAATGGTGGAGATCCATAGATAGTAGGAAAGTGGGTTGAAAAGGGCACTTGCTGAGTGGAACTTGATTTGCTTAGAAAATGGGAGTTTACATTAGAGCTTTTTTTTCAAATACTTACTCTTCCTTCTTGCCCTGAATATAACTAGAGAGAATACAATCAAAAAAGCAACTTAAGGCAGTTACAAGTTTTAAAGTTCACCTGAGTGGATTTTATTTTGGTTTGAAGTCAGGCTTAATCATCTGTTTTTTAATAACTGAAGTTACTTTGGACATCCTTATCATATGGCCTGTTTGCTTCATTTTATATATGAGAAGGCAGAGCTAATAAGATATATCCAAGAACAGCAGGATTCCGAATTCAGATCTTTCTGACTCCTGATTGGGTCTGCTCTTTGCCGTTTAATTAAGTTTGATGTAGATGAGTTGGCCCTGTGGAAATGGATCAGTCTGGGCATATGTCTTAATATATAAAATAAATGCCCAGTGTCTGCATGTACTAGCATGGAATCCTTTTGCGCAATTACAGTACTCTTTCTTTCATACTCTAATCCCAGTCTTGTTCATCTCTTCTCAGTAGTGTTTTTATGAGATTTTATTGTACTTAAAATTTTAAACATTATTTTAGTTATTTAATGGATGATAAATGATACTCTTTTCTATAATTTTCCTGTTTTTAGTTTGAGCAGTTTAAACAGCAACTACCACTTCTAAGTGTTTGAGGTGATTGCTTTGCTTTGATTAGAATTCCCTGGTGTCTGTGTATGTGCCATTAAACCTGAGTTAATGTGGGCATGAATATAAGGCCACGACTTCTAAGAGGCAAGGGAGTCCTTTAATGGAGAAGTTTTAGGTATGAGATTATTTTACTGAAACCTTTGCCTTGCAAATCTTATACTTTTATATAGTATAAATTAGGGATTTTCAAATTTTTGTCCTCATCCTTTTCTTCAGACAATGTAATGTGGATATCTGAAGGGTAAGATAGTTAATGAGAAGCTGCTGTGATTCACCCCACTGCCTCCTCAAGCCTGACAAGTGCTGTGGAGCACAGTTTAAAAATGCTGTCCTTAGTTACTAAGGCTGATTTTGTTTTTGTTCTTCATTTTGTGTTGAGTCTCTTGTAGCAGGGGACCCTGCCTCCTATGGTTAGGTTCCCAGGTGGGTCTGCTGGCAGTGAGAGGTGGTGATTGTTGCAGTTTATGCCAGCTCATTGGGGTCTCCTGCTGGGGGTAACTGGCTCCCAGACAAACTCTGCCCTTTCTTTTTAAGCTCCCAAACTATAATATGTTAGCACATCTGCCACGTACGTACTTAAACGATACTCTGAAGAGCCCATACTTCACATGGGCTAAAATGTTTCTAATTACATTAACTGTATAGATTAGAGTGCTTATTCAGTTCACTTACATAAAAGTTGACAACAGTTTCACCTCATGATTTCTTTCGTTTCTCTTGTGTTTTTGTATCTTGCCTCAATTTATTCTTTATAGAAAATGTATACGACTAATTTCTGGTATAGATTTGGCTTTTTTTTTTTTTTTTAAATGGTGTCATTTACATTTTTTCTCACAGTATTACACAGTTCTTGTAAAATTATTTTTACTTGGCTAACAAACCAACAGACACATTTCAGACGATTCCCCAATGACTTGTAGGTAGTATTTTATCAGAAAATACATTCTTGGTTTCCAAGAGCTCAAAAACAAATAGCTTATTTTCAGTATCTGTAATAAAAAACCAATCTGGACCCTGTAGGAGAGAGGGCAAGAAGTTGTATACGTATTTTTATACCTTTTATTCCCCTTCCTGAGCTCATGGTGTGGAAATTGGGAATTCTCATCCATTTTAGTTATTCTGGAAAAGCTTGCTAGAGGAGATTTGAGAAAATCTTGATGATTCTATATGAATTGTTTGAAGGGGAGTTGTGGTAAAAATATTAAAGTCATGAGGATTAAAGTATTGACTAGTCGAACTCGTGCTTGCAGTTTTGTCATCTTACTCTATTTCTTTTTCCCCTCATGTAATGTTGTTGGCCATTGACTTTTAAAGGAATATCTTATTCTTAAGTGTTTAAGTAAGATTATGTTGCATTAGGGCCACTAAAACAGAGGGAGAAGAAATAAACTAGAATAGGTGGCTCATTGTTGGTGAAAAACTCCGTTGTTAACATTTATTTTTCATGAAACTTCTTTTCCTCAAGTATTAAACTCTTAAGTTGGTTTTACTTTTTTGTTTCAGCATCAAAGCTGGACGACTCCTGTCCTACATTCCCTATCAGCTGTACAGCAAGCAGTCCAACATGCAGAAGGGTCTCAACTTTAATCCTGTGTGCAAACCTGAGGATCCTGTGCCGGGTCCAAGCAGTGTATCCAAACAGCTGAACAACAGGGTGTAAGTTTCTCTAGATTGGGGAATGCTGCAAAGCTGGGTTTTAGCAGTGGGTGTGGGTACTGCTCCTGCTTTGCTGAAATAGAAACAAATACAAAACATGGCCATTTATCTATATTAAACATGTTAAAATATGTTTAAAGGTATCTTACCTAAAAATTATTTTGCGGGTGTCTACGTGGCTCAGTTAAGCATCCACTTTGGCTCAGGTCATGATCTCATGGTTTGTGAGTTTAAGCCCCACATTGGGCTCTGTGCTGACACTGTGGAGCCTGCTTGAGATTCTCGCTCTCTCCCCTTTTCTCTCTACTCCTCCCCCACTTTTACACGTGCCCTCCCAAAAAATAAACTTAAAAATTAAATTTATTTTTATCATGAAAGTTTCTTAAATAAAATGTAAATAAGGAAGCTTTCCCAGTCAGTGTAGATTCCCCTGTTATACTAATGGATCTTAAATTACTGGAAGTAAAATTTTCCATGGATTTGCCCAAAATTACTTCCACATAAGTAATTTGCTGTAGAATGTTGCTTTCTCAAAAACCAAGCTAATTGCACCAGTATGCTTTTGTTGTGTGCTATATACATAATAAATGTGTTAACATTTCTAGGTTATTTTTGAAAATTTCCAAATTCATAGCAGTTTTACATATGTAAATATATTTACATTGGTAAAAATTTAGTTGGTGACCCTCAGTGTTACAGCTAGAGGTAACTCTAGACTTTATTCCAATGTGGCAGATTTAAAAAAATATATTGATTAAGCTTTAATTGCAGTTATCTTGGGTAAATTGGTTTCATGATTAATTGGTGTGTTGCCTTAACTTGTATATCAGGTGGTTTATTATCGCTAGTGTTCTCCTTATTTATTAAATTGCTTGCTTTGGGAGTTGGATATATATATATATTTAAAGACCAGAAGTCCAATTAAGCTGGGAGGATCTGATATCACTACCTTCAGTAGTTTTTGTTGTTGTCATTTGTATTTTATCTTGTATTCACTTATAAGCATATTCATGTTTTTCACATTACCTAACCCTTTCAATTTTTTTAGCACCATCAAGGTGCACAACAAATAATATCAGAAAATCTTTCCAAATGTGCAACTTCGTATTTTTCTCTTACAGTAATAAAAATAGGAACTAGGTGGTTGTTATTTTTAATTCTCCCTTGTGTCAGTTTTAGCAGGAATTTACCTATTAGATTGTACTTTTTAATACATGTACACTTTTGCCTAATTAATGTATGTCTCCCAATGATGTATTTCCATTACAGCTACTTTATGAATATCCATTTGTGTAGGCTGAAAAACTGTAGTACAGAAAGAATGTATATTAGGAATGTGTTTCTTGTCAGTGTTTGTAATTCTGTTGCATATGTTGCTAGTATACATGAGAAGAATCTTATTGTCACACAGAAAACTAGATGTCAGGCTTTTCTGACTTAACTCACTTTTGTTGCTTTCCATAATATTTATTCTTTAGTATATTCAGTACGTTTTATAAATTTCTTTGAAGTTCTTTTATGTGACTTCTTGTTCCCTTGCTTCCTCTTTATCTCAAGGGCCAGACATGTAGCAAATGAGGTTTTCTTTCCTTCCTCTTTTATTTTAATTGCTCCCTGATCTTCTATTTTCCCTTTTCACTGGCATGATCATCTGTGAAGATTGGACCTAATCAGAATTGCCTGTCATATTCCATGAGATGGTTCAGCCAGAGCCAACCCAGAAATGGGTGGTAATGTTTTGCATCTGTCTCATGTGTGACTTTTCTGTTTATTCATACTGTTACTGCTAATCTCTTGTGTTGGTATTAGGATGAGAGACTTTAGATTAAACTTGGTAATACTGTGGCAGCCTCACCAATGCCTGGGTATCATGTATCAGGCAACCTTCTCTGGAGCCTGAACTGTAATTGGGTTAATGGTGTGGGTGTTTCTAAGTAGAATGAATTGCTGTTCTGTAATTCAGGTTTTTGTTTTTGTTACTTAGATCATTTTTGTGAATGCAAATGAAATTTGTCTTTATTATAGAGTATTAACAAGCAAATATCTAGAGGAGTCAGAATGTGAATTTAGCAAAACATTTGTCATAGGTCCTACATTTATAAACTTGTCCTCCAGAAACTTGGTCAAATTGCCTTGGACCACCCTGGTGTCTGAATATGCTTTTTTAAGAAATGAAATGCCATTTCCTTTGTTAATAAGCAGATGTCCTCATTTTACTAGGTATACATTTTACTGAATTACCCATACACATTAACCTAGTTCTTTTTACCTATTCATGACAGTGGGCCTATTAAGGGATTAGTAAATACAGTCTGTCAGTCTTCCTGAGTGAAACTAACTGGCCCTAGGATTGTAGCAGTATCATATTTAATGTGTTGAACAATGCCTTACATAAAACTAAAACTAGGAATATTAATTCAGATAAAGTTTCTTATCCATTTTTATGGGAGTTATTTATGTTAACTCCCATAATTTATTGACTCCCTAGTAAATGCCAGATACTGTGCTACTGTGGGTATTTAGGGATTACAGGTTCCATTTAAATTTTAGTGGGAAGAATAATTGAAAATAGTTTTTATTTTTCTTCAACCTGAGATTCTTTTGTGTTTCTTCTTTGGGAGTATTTGAAGTTTGAAAAAAAAAGAACAAAACTTACAAGACTTTATGTTCTAGGATTTTCGTAGTTACCTTGCTACTTTGGTTTAGCTAAGAATTATCTTAGTTGGAAGAGAAAGAATATAAAATTTATGGCTTAATTTTTCAATTTTTAGGGGGAGAAATATTGAAGGTGTGCATCACTTAAGACCATGTTTACATTAAAAATTGTTTTAGCCTGAAAGTCACATATCAATTTAAATCTTTTTTTCTGTCTGTAGAAATCACATAATTAAGAAGATTGAGACAGAAAATGAAGTCAAAGTCAATGGAATGAACAGTTGGAATGAAGAAGATGCCAATAATGATTTTAGTTTTGCGGAGCTGGAGCACATCCTTCCAGGAAGGAAACAAAACGGAATTCCGCATCACAGAGACAGCACTGCCATTTTTAATGGACATACTCCTAGCTCTAATGGTGCCTTACAGATGCAGGATTGCTTGGTGCCCATGGGCAACAGTGTTGCCAGCAGGCTTTCTCCAGACTTTGCCCAGGAGGAGGAGCAGGCTGAGAAGAGCAGCACTGACTTCAGAGACTGCATTTTGCATCAGTTGCAACAGAGCACTAGAAACACAGATGCTGTGCGGAATCCACACAGAACTCATTCCTTCTCCTTATCATCTTTGCACAGTAACACTAAGATAAATGGTGCTCACCACTCCGCTGTTCAGGGGCCTTCAAGCACAAAAAGCACTTCAGTACCTGCTCTTAGCAAGGCAGCACCTTCAGTGCCATCCAAACCTTCAGATTGCAATTTTATTTCAGACTTCTACTCCCACTCAAGACTGCATCACATATCAATGTGGAAGTGTGAATTGACTGAGTTTGTCAATACCCTACAAAGACAAAGTAGTGGTATCTTTCCAGGAAGGGAAAAGTTAAAAAAAATGAAAACAGGCAGGTCTGCACTTGTTGTAACTGACACAGGTAGATACTTACTAACATTGTTTTCTTAAGAAACAATAGTACTTGACCATTTTGTTCTTAAGGTGTCACTGGTATTCTGATCAGTACTAAGCTCTCATAAAAGTCTTTAGGAATATCGGGGCATGTAAGTTAACAGTAAGTATAGCAGATTATAGAAAGCTTTCTTCCTTATTAAAATATTTTTTACAAATTTAGATTTAAATGTTGGCTAGCTGAATATTTTCAGGTAACTTAAACAGTAACAAGGTTGGGATTCTGAGCATTCATTCCTCATGTAGACCTTGTCAGTTGTTGAAATTTTGAACTGTGTAAAATATAACATGTAATTCTATCCAGTGCTCAAATTCTTGTAAGAATAAATTGGTTTGGTAAGAGTAACTTAATTCTAGAAGCTGGCATCTGAATGACTTTTAAATTATTAAAGAACTGACTTAATAGCTACTGTAATTACAGTGGTAAACTTGTAGTGAGATTAAGTATTTTCACACAATAGTAGATTGGTTAATTGTATTTTGTTTTTTAATACTTTTCTTGTCTTCAAAAGCAAACAAAACCAACAATTACAGACTGTATTTCTATGCAGTCATTACTAATTAGTTTCTGGTTTGAGGTTTTAGATAACTGTTTATAGAATATATGGTTTTGTTTTGTTTTTTAGAGAGATATCTCAGATTATCTCATATTACCTTTTAACTTATAGCTATGGAAACTGAGGTACAGAGAGAGAAGCTCATGGTTCTGCCCTAGACAGTGATAGAGCTTCTCCCTGTGGGTTTTTTTCTATTATGTTTTGTTGTGTTTGATGTAGTCCTAAATACTTTGTGTTACTTATGAGATATTTCAGAATAATGTTACAGGTATTAGATTATCCATTCATCATCCCTTGGCCTCATATGGTAAAGGTCATTTAATTTTGAAAGCTGCAAAGAATTATTATGAATTAGTTTCATGAATGGAATAAAATGATAAATTTTTATATTGTATGAAAGCATTCAGTAGGTGTTTGGTATATGCATTCTGTACTACTTGAATATTTAAAGCAGTTATTTGGGGTTTATATTATGTTTATATAATATTTATATACAGCAAAATTATAATTGTTAAGATTTATTTTCTAAATCATTTCTTGAGATAATACAGAGGATAGCAAGGAAGTGCATGGCTTGAGTTCAATAATGTATTCTTAATCCAAATTCTGACTCTGCAGGGCCATGGGCCAGTTCACCTCTCTGGGTCTCAGTTTCCCCTTCATGGTGGAGTGATAGGTGGTCCATGGTGCTCACTTTGTGGGCTTCTGAACTTAAGGGAAGATAACATGAACAAAGGCTTGTTGCCTTGCACATAGTGAGAACTTGGTGCTTTCACACTGCTTTCACAGTCACAATTTGGTAAATGTAGTAGTCTGAACCATTGGGGAGTAAAAATGTAAGGTTTTGGAAGCTTATTCTGAAGACTTAACACCTTCAGTACTAGTATTCTTAAACCTATCAACAGAAAACTTTTTTATGAGATTAGAACTTTTTTTTTTTAACGTTTATTTAGTTTTTGAGAGAGACAGAGCGGGAGTGGGGGGGTGGGCAGAGAGAGAGGGAGACACAGAATCCAAAGCAGGTTCTGAGCTGTCAGCACAGAACCTGATGCAGCCCAACGCGGGCTTGAACTCGTGAACCACGAGGTCATGACCTGAGCCTAAGTCGGACGCCTAACCAACTGAGCCACCCAGGTGCCCTGAGATTAGAACTTTTTACAAGCTTGGAGTTCTTATTTCCAAGAATTCTATATTTTAGAGGACTAGGAAAAAGGTCTAAGGATGGAACTGATAAAGAACAAAGCTCTAGTTGTGGCTGGATTGGTTGCAATAACCCTGATAAACCAAAATACATAGCTCAAGGTGATTAGAAGGCAGAGTCCTTAGGAGAGGACACTACCCTTTTCTTGAAAGTGGCATATATGCTTCAGAGCTGATTTTTAATAGTGTTTAATGGCTAAAGGAGGAAAATTGTATATATTTACCTACAGATTTATATGTAGGTATTTGTTTTATAGACTTTTTCTAAATATATCTAGAGCAACAATGTGATGGTTCCAGGGCTCAAATCAGACTGCCTAGAGTTGAAATCCAGTTCAGCTTCTTCTTACTGGCTGCATAACACAGTCATTAACATAACATAATATTAATCTATCAAATGGACCTAATAAGATTATATATTTCATCGTATTGAGAATTTAAATAAATACATGTAAACCTCTTAAAACAGTGCATGACACCTACCAAGCACTCTATACTGGCAGTTTTTACTGTTTTTTTTTATCAAGGAATATTTGTAGACTGCATATGGAATACTGATCATCTAAAGTTACTTAGCTCCACGTAACTATATGAAAGTACTTTTATACATTTTAATAAAATATTCACACAGAAATAACTTTAAGTATTTAGACATAGTTTGGATGAAAGACTTAATAATTATTACAATATAGATTAGGAAAACATGCTATCTCCATAATTGATTTCAAATTATGTTTGCAAACTAAATTTATATCTCTGGATTATGTTTAGAGCCAAAGAAACTGACGTTTGACCTTGCTTGAAGTGATTGAAATATTCTGTAATAGATACTGTATTTTTTTGAGACTTCATTCAACTTATAGGCACTTAAAGTACAGTTTTTAAAATTAAATAGACCTGATTTTTTTTTTTTTGATATTAAAAATTAGCTTCAGGTTTGAACATTTTCTTTTTCCTTCTAGGAAATATGTCAGTATTGAGTTCACCCAGGCATCAGAGCTGTATAATGCATGTTGATATGGATTGCTTCTTTGTATCAGTGGGTATACGAAATAGACCAGATCTCAAAGGTCTGTATTCTTGTTCATATTTTAAGAAAACTTGATATTGTTATAAATATATATTCTAAGGGATCATAAAACCTTCAAGAAATATTATTTTCATTTTCCTTGGCAAAATAAATCCCTGCTTCCAAGTTTTCTGACTCAGTTATCAAGAAAGATAAAGGGAAATTAGAAACATTTTGTTCTCCCTGTGGAGGTTAGGTCTTTTAGGGAAGAATACTCCTCTTCAGCTGAAAGATCTCATCTAAGACTAATAAGACTGGTACCTGCATTGGGCATTTTCTATATTTTTACATATTTACTGTTACTTGGTTATTAAATAGAAATTTTATGGTAGCATCTTCCGCAGTTTGGGTCCATGTGCTTTCTTTCTCTTGGGTAAATAACTTGATTAACTGTTCTGATGATGCTAGTGCACATTCCAACTTTTTGGTTTGAGAATAATTTTGCATTATTGAATATTGCTGAGATATGCTGTCATCTTTGTTTTAATGGAATTTCAGATATTTGTGAGTTAATCAATACTTTTAAAAACATTTATTCTGGATTTTTCAGTAGTTCTGTCTGTGCTTGAAAGATGTAACTATTAGCATTTTCTTCTGAGAGTCTGTTCTTTTTCAGGAAAGCACAGAAACTGCTGGGTTAACACCAGGGCTTTATTTGTGTCATGAATAGCTACTGCTTCAGCTTTGAAGGGAGTTTAGAATGTTTAAAGAATTGAGTTTAGCCTGATGAGTCACTCTGATGGTAGTATTTTTTATCCTCACGACAAATGCATTCAGTAACATATATATGAATGATGCATGCTATTGCTTTAAGAAGTTACAGTTCTTTTGTAACTTAATGCATACACAAGGAAATGATACCTGAAAGATTTTATAACTAAACCAAAAACTGAGGCACTGTATTCTCAAGTTTATTATATAGTAGGTCAGATTGTGGTCCCTTTGCATATATATTTGTTTCTTTTGTTGTAAAATTGAAAGATTGGATGTTACCTTACTTTTCTGATACCAGAAATATAAAAAGTCCAGATGTAGTTGGTTTTCTTACCCTCTCCCACCATTCCACTTTGAATCTAGGATCTGAGTTGACTCTTCTCTACTGTAAGAAACCAAACAAAAATCATGGGAAAGGAAGTGATAGCGTTTTAACTTGAATAAATGTATCATATTGTCATAAATAGTTTACTTTTTGGAGGGTGTTGAGAAACTTAGATGATTTTTGTATGGTGATTGAGAATGTTTAAAGATACTAGCTCCTTATGGATTAATGTCTAAAGCTAAAGAAAATATGTCATATTTTTAAAACTTTTGAAAATGTTTCCTTTACATATTGCCATGTTAACATTCCTATATTTAGATTTAAAAATAATTTTTTTTTCCTCACAGGAAAACCAGTGGCTGTTACAAGTAACAGAGGCACAGGAAGGGCACCTTTACGTCCTGGCGCTAACCCCCAGTTGGAGTGGCAGTATTACCAGAATAAAATCCTGAAAGGCAAAGCAGGTACAAATGAGCTCTCTTTGAAGTCATAATGCTCCTGTTGAAGACGTCTGGATTTTGCTGCTGGTATTGTCATTACAGAAATGAAAGAGTTGAAATTAGCTTTTTCATTCAAGGGTTTTAAAGGTGCCAGTGACATCTTAAAGCAAAATCTGCATGCAATACAAATGACTGGTTTATGGTCCTGCTTTGTTGAATTGGATGATATTTTCCTGGGATAGAAAAGAATGTTTTATAGGGTGTGATTAGTTTGCTTTGTGTATATTTAGATTGGGATAAAAATAAAATCATGGACATCATTTTGTGGTGGTCTCTAGACTCAAGTTGATTACTAGTTGTTTGGTCACTGATCAACAGTAAAGACACTAAAGATTTGTGTGAGGCTGTGGAATAAGAAATAGTAGGACTTTATTTATTGGAATAAGAAGATAAATACTAGGAATCATTCCCCATATCTTTGTTGAACCTGTTTGAACATTTTCTTGCCTCACTGGCTTTTGAATTTTTTGCTATTAATAAAAATCATAAATTATACTGATCACAGTATTAACATTTTTATGTCTGTTTTTTCCCCCTGAGTAAATTCCCTGAGAAATATTTGATTAGAAATTAAATTCTTTGTCATTGATCAGTTTCCTCTTGAATGTCTGCAAAACCAAAAGTTTTTAAAAATTAATTTTCCAGAAGAATATTAATCAGAAAGTAGTCAGAAATATACAGTGGAATGGAAGGCAAGCAGTTAAATTTCATCCTGATTATTTCAGGTTCCTAGTTTTCAGTTATAAGAATTTGGGATTATTTTAGAAATGATCTCATAGAAATTAAGGCAGAAGGAAAGCCACTGGACATATCTGAGGAGTTTTTTGGAATTACAGTCTTCTTGTTGGTCGTGATTATCTGTTTACATGGTATGAATACAAAAGACAATAACTAGAGATAGAACTTTATGCTTCATGTGTACCTGTATTTTCCAGATTTCCTTTCTCTTGGTTATTTAAATCTTTTAAGAGATTTTTGACATTCCAACATTTTGTGTGTCATGAATAGATCTTGAAGTAGTCAGTATTGAGCTTAAGATTTAGTTGTATTGTGGTATGTGGCAATATGGGTAGTTTCTTAAGTATTGGTAGTATGGTTTTGTGCTAGGTTGGTTTCTAGAGAACAAGTAAGTAGCTTAAGGAAATGCATACTTGTCACATTGGGCAGTCAGTGAAAAACTTACTGAATGAGCGTTGAAAGAAGAAAAAATACCATGGACATACCGTTCAGTAATGTCTGTCAGTTATGCAGTACTCCGTTTCTCTGGTGGGTAGAATCTTGTGTTTGCTACACACATCTGTATTTCAGCAGTCTCTGCCTGGAAGTTTGGCCTTGGCAAGCACACATCCCTTAGGAGTAGCAGAGAACTAGTCCTCTTACATCTTTCCTTCCTTCACAAGTGATCTGACCACACACAGTTTATTAACAGAATACAGTTGTTGCTTACTTAATTATCTTTGTCAGTTTAGCCACTGGATTTTCATAACACTGTAATGACCTTTTATAATTCACATCCCCTCCACCTCTACATGTGGGTAGGAAATTGGAAGGTAAATATTAAGAGAAATATTGAAATTTCACTTGACATTGAAAACTGTCAAAAATAGTTTTTCTGTCACTAGAACAGGTGAATATAATACTTTGCATTTTATATTCTTTCTTTAACTTGATGTCATTCACTTTTATGTCCTAAGCCTTTGACCCATTAGGAGCTTACCAAAATATTTGTAACATAAAATGAACAGATTGTTCTTAAAGTTTGGTTGCAACTAACCTTGTACTTAGAACTTGTTTTTTCAGTGCCTTTGTTCTTCTTTCCTTGTTACTCCCTGATCTTTCTTTCTCTGTGTCCTTATAAGACATGACATCAAATTTTAAAATATCGAGGATCAATTTAGGAATTAGAATCTTTGGCTTCTGCACACTAGCTTTTAAAACAAAAAAATCAGTTCTGATTTTTCAGCTTGTACGTCTAGGCAAAGTATTAGAACAAATAGCATCTTTAGCCTTTTATAGATAGAAACTTTAGTTTCTTATTCGTCATATTAAAAAACTCTTTGTCTAAATACACCAGCATAACCAAGGGCTTTCCATCATGACTTCCTTTGGAAGCTGCTTCCTGAACAGTACTCAGCAGTGACGCTTCTCATTGAGGGGACCTCATTATTTGGAATCCATTTATACTCAAGATTTTGTGGTTGGGGCCTTTTACCCTTTCCTGGATTCCAGGATGCAGATGTTTTCTTACCCCTTCAACAACTTCAGTGTTCATTCTAAAGAACAACAGTTTTTAAAATCGTTTTAGTCATAGATTTATTCTCAGCGATTTCTTTTTCACAGACTTGGGTCCCGGCCTCTGATTTCTCCAACCGTTCCTCCACATTCTCCATGTGCCCGTCTAGTTTGTCAAGTTTTGATGAGCAGTTCTCTACTTTGCCCTCCAGTGAGGACAGTGTGTCCCTGAATTTCCCTGAATCTCCCTTGAAGCAACTCACTGCGCTCGTGGAGGGATCCCTGCACTCTGCTGCACTGTGGAAAAGGTCAGCCAGCCCAGTGAAGAGAAACCCGAGGTGCTGCCTCTCAGGCAGGGCATTGGGAGCACAGGGAGCACAGACACTGTTCTCACCTCCAGCATGACTTTCCTGTGATTTTCCAGACAAGTATCGTAGATTATTTAACTAGACTTTCAAATAGAAGTCACCTAACTCCCCAACTTTCAAGGCATACAGAATCATGGTTATACCTGTGAAAGGCAGCTGGTTGTGGCTCTTCAAGCTTCAGCTCTCTTTGTTGTTGTTGTTGGTTCAGTAGCAGTCTCTCTTGAACTATGATACTGACAATCCTGAAATTTCCTAAAGATTTTCAGCTTAGAATAATGGACTAAGCTGATAATATTTAGCCTTCTAAGATGCTTCAGAAAAATGGGGAAGTCTGCTCTGCACTCTGTTTTTAATGTATCATAGTATAGCATATGTGTATCATAATATATCAGAAATCATAGCTTAAATTTTATACTCTGCTGTTTTAATTTTTGAGGCAAGTGGGATTTGAGCCCATTAAGATACCAGTCCTTTCAGTTTGATTTGGGTTTATGCTTTGTGTGTTTGGGTGCCGGAATCCAGAAATACTTACGTGGGTTGCATAGTTGGGTAAAAGATGTTGACAGTTTCTGGAGTCAAATCAGGAAGACTTATTTTGGCCCATAAAGCCAGATACTTTGCCATGTGTTCCTGGGGGTGCTTTAACTTGGCTGATTTTTCATGGAACATTGTGTCTCTGAAATATGCAGAAGAGAAATCCTGGGTTTGCTAGTTATATATTATACTCAAAATAGGTTTGTCTAGAATTAATTGAAGTGGTATATCTTGGCTTGTTTTACTAACTACTGGTATTTTTGTTCATAATACTAGAACTATGGCTGAGATTGTGTTTCAAGAATATATGTTTTTAAAACATAGTCTTGGAACTTAATATCCCAAGAGACCAAGAACTGAAGTTGTGTTTTAATCTTTCTCAATTGCTAGTGAAGCTAAAGGTGCTAAAGGAGGTAAAATGGCGTGCAGTCAGTACTCTCCTGATAGGTGCTTTTATAATCTTGTGTGAAGCTGTAAATTGGGTTTGGATATTAAAAGATACTAGTGAGTGGTACTGTTTAGGCTAGAGTTGTATTGTGTAAAGCAATTGGTATTCTGATCACACCTGAATGTTTTTAATTGAACATGCATTGTTAAGCCATTGAGTAGAACTTACTGAAAGGTGGGCAGTGTTGTGAAGCTCTTTTACCCGATGTGTGTTCAAAAGAAAAACCTTAAATTTAGGATGAAACCTCTTTCTGGTATGCGACCTACTGAATTGGATCGAATGACTTACAGGAAATTGGTGTTTGTTGAGCATGTTGTTCAGTAGCTTTAAGCTTTGGAGGTAGTTTATTTAGGAAATAGCAAAGAACATTCAGAGAAATGTGTATTTTCCATTAACTTAAGTTTCCCATTACAGAGAGCTGTGTAATCCTTTCAAGGCTAAAAGAGGGATTCATCTTCCTGATAACTTTTCATCCTTTTCATCTCAAGAGACTGTTGAAGAATGTTTTATATTTATCTTTTGATACATTGTGTAAAAAAAGAAAAAAAACTAAAAAACTCAAAATCTTTACTAAAGTGAACACTTTCAATTTATTACACATTTTTGTCTGACCGCTGATGAAGTATAAATGGAAGCAAACCATTTTAGAGCTATAAGTTTTCTTTTATTAAGTAAGGAGACCAATACCAGTGGATATAACTATTTGGAATTTACTATGCATTTATATATGAAAGGAATGGAAAATACATTTCTTGAATGAAAGTTGAGGAAAATGAGTTTCCAATGTATAATCATTAAATTTTATTATTTTTAAAGCAAAGATACCAGATTCATCAATGTGGGAGAATCAAGATTCTGCACAAGCAAATGGGATTGATTCTGTTTTGTCAAAGGCTGAAATTGCCTCTTGTAGTTACGAAGCCAGGTATGTGGAGATTAAGTCTATTGTAATACTTACGGATAGTTAATCATTTTTACAGACTCTTTGAAGTGGATTCAGACGTGCCAGTCATCCCTGTATTACATGTTATGGAAAGAAATATTTCAAGGCTTAGTCCCTTCAGTTCCTTTTTTCCTTTCACAAATGCTAGATAAATTTAAATAAATACCTTACTTTCCTGATGAATCGGTAGGTCCTACAGTGGAAACCAAAAGAAATTGGGCGTTGTCACTTTCAGACCATTGTCTTTTGAAGGAAGGATAGAATTAAAGAATTAGATATTTTTTACTATTCATCTATTCTGATCACTCCTTTTTATAGCTAAGAAAAATCCCTTGCAATTTAAAACTCGTAATACATAACATTTTCTTAAAATTTTTTGTTAAAACTTGATTGTCTATTAAATTACAAGTAAATAATTGCGTATTGGCATACCCAATAATCTCCTCACTTAAAATTGCAGACTGTTGTCAACTTGTTAGTACCAACTTTGTGTGTAGGTCTTTATCTTACAGTAACCTTAAACTCTCATTACAATGGGCTCTGTTAGTACAGGAAGAAACAGACATTATGTATGTGTTCCTCACACTTAAATCATTTAAAACTAGAAGGAGTAATAATGATTAATTTGAAAGAGCTGCCTCTTTTTTTTTTCTTTCCCGATAACTGACACTTTCTACCTTTATAACATTTACATATCGTTGGCAAGCGTTAAAGTATTTAACAATTATAAAAACAAAGAGTCAGTCTTTTTTACTTATGCCTTTGTCATTCATACTTTTCTTTTTTATTGAGATATAATTGGCATGTAACGTTATATTAGTTGCAGGTGTATAGCATAATGATTTGATATATGTAACATTTTTCAGTCCTAATTAAAAGTTGGGGTTGTTCAAGCAAGTCTAATAGGAACAAAAGATATTTCAACATCATCTAACTGAAATAGTTTAAAATCTTGCCAGTTATTTTATAAAAAGAATACTTAAGAAAACTTTGAAATCAAACATACATAATTATAAAATATTTTAAATTATTTCCCAATTATGACCTGTGAAACTTTTACTCCTAGACTGACTTTGCCTTTGTTATTGACAGAATTATGTTTTAACCTTTTCATTGTTGATAATGCAGCCCAAGAGTTGAAAATTTACTTGAATAAAAATGATAAGTCTGATACAAATGCATTCTGGATTGTTATATTTTTATTAAGCCAGGCAGTTTAGAGCTGATTTTGTGTTGTGCTCAGTAAGTCTGGCTTTTTTCCCCACTGAGTTGTTGGATGATGACTTGTGCCTCTGGTGTCTGGACAGTTGTGTTCACATGTGGAGGGCATGGGGAAGCTCAGGAATACTCTCTTGGTGTTTGAGTTTTGCTCAGGGCTGAAGTGAAAGCCCCACCCTCTCTATTGCTTCTGAAGGGTGTCTCTTCTCATTCAGCACCCCAGACTGAGTGCTGGTCAGAGGGTAGCAAGGCTGCCTCGGGGGTAAAAGTGTTTCCTGTTCCTGATGGCTTTGGACACAAGTAGCCACAGCTGTAGGAGGAGCTCTAGGAGCTCTAGGCTTCTTTTGGTGTTTGGATGTTGCAGTCGTATTGCATCAAAGATAGTGATTGTCAAGCTGAATGTATTACAGAATAATTGGTGTTACGATAATATGGTCCAAATACTATGCAGCAAGCCAGTGAGGTGGTAATTGTTTAAGGAGAAACATAAGTGATGAAAATGAATTTGAGTATAAGTTGGGGGAAGAAAAACCCATAAGAGTGGGGTTTTATCTCTTATTGTGATTTTCCTTTTGTAGAAAGCTGTTGATAGAAAGTCTCTAGAAAACAATTCTTGGATACCCTTTTCTTGTCCAATAATTATATTTTCCTTAGGTGAGAAGATTTGTTAAAAATTTCTCACATTTGCATCAGAGAAATGTTTTTAGGGTTGGAGTAGGGACTGGATATAGGGATGGGCCTCCCAGTTTTATCCATTGTTGAGTTTCCAAAAGACACAGACTAATAATGAGGTCAGGAAGGGATGATATGTACACATGAGGGTAGAAATTATGGAAAGGTAGAATGTATATACGAAGGCTAGAATATACATTACTGTTAGTAGTTTTACTCATACTTAACAGAGCAAGATTTATACATAAGTGAGAAGGTAGATATATGGATGAATAGGAAGTGATCTATGAATATCCGAGAATCACATATTTTTTAAGATCAATCATTTTTAAATCTCTGTTTTCATGCACTTTTGTAAGGACGCTTTACTGTTCTTATAGTGATGTGGATACCTATTAGCATATTGAATGGGCAGTGACATACATGTGCAGTGTAAACCTGCAAATAAACAATTTTTGTGGCACACACTGATAAAGTATTGGTAGTTTATTCTCTGTGGGATCTAGTTGACAGGAATAGATAAACCACTTGTAGTGAAGGGTCACTATAATGTTTTGTATTTGCCTTTACTCATTTATTTTATATGAAACATATCCACTTTCCCAACTACCAACTCAAGAGAATTTTGCTTCCTTCCCTTAGTTATGGGAACCCTCTTAGGTTCCCTTAGGTTTTCCTTTTTTCTTTGTAACTTCCCTAGTGTTTAGTGGCTCCTAAACATTTCTCTCCAAGATGTATATGTGCACAAGTACATAAATAGATGTCTTTTGTTTTGCTAATAAGTAACATATCCCTGAAAATTTTTGAATAAGTGAAAAAATAGGAAAATACAATTTTTGTAAATATAAGAATACAGTATATAGCAGTTATGTAACACATTCTTTCAATAATGAATAATTACCTTTAATTTGTAAGCTTAGCTTTTGCATGCTGAACCTACACATGTAGCATTATTGAAAATGTCTTAAACTGTATGTGTTTGTATACAGACTTCAAAACTTTTACACACACACACACACACACACACGTCCTTGCTTTACTAAACAAGATCCATTGACTATGATCTATTATTTGGTGGGTGAGTGTAGGGAGGGTAATCCCTGTGAACGTCATGGGGTCTGTTTTGTTTACCATGGTTTTTTTTTTTTTTTTTTTTTTTTTTTTTTTTTTCAACGTTTATTTATTTTTGGGACAGAGAGAGACAGAGCATGAACGGGGGAGGGGCAGAGAGAAAGGGAGGCACAGAATCGGAAACAGGCTCCAGGCTCTGAGCCATCAGCCCAGAGCCTGACGCGGGGCTCGAACTCACGGACCGCGAGATCGTGACCTGGCTGAAGTCGGACGCTTAACCGACTGCGCCACCCAGGCGCCCCTTGTTTACCATGTTTTACCTACCACCTCGCAAAATACCTCAGACATAAATTTTTGTTGAATGAATGAGAAAATTTTCGTTGCCATACTGTTTGTCAGTCAGCACTTCTTTTACTGTCATTTTTCCTTCCTATTCTTGTCTACTAGGAGCTTTGAAGTCAGATAATTTATTACTGTTTTTGTGTCCATCAGAAATGCATACGATTTTGCATTTACTTCTGAGTAGCTTGGAGGATTCTTTTCTTTCTTGGCTTTCGGTGGTGTGAGATGGGGAGGGTGCCAGAGATTTCTGAGTAACTGAAGCATAGTATTTGTATATTGTTTCTCAAAACAGGGCACACTACCATGCTGAGTAAGCACTTAGTAAATATTTATTGAAAAAATGTATAGAGTAACTGATGTATTTACACAGGAGTATGTAATCTGGTGAAACAGTGCTTATTATTTTGCTTGTGTTTTTATTTTAGTATTTTTTCTTGGTTTCATTACAGAGTGTTAAAATGGAATTTTACTAATTATATATAATTCCATAATTACAGTTTTGTGCTGAATGCTCCAAATATCAAAGGTAATGTGGGGCATTGAGACACGCAAAAGATTTAAAATTTACCATTTTCAATTAGGTCCCTCAAAGTTCTGGAACCCTGGCTCCTGCCCAGAGTGATGTCCTACCATATACAATGCTGTTGGCATCTCAACCACTGTGGAGCCACTTCAGGAGCATGGAATTGGTCAATTGGGAATTGGGTGGTAATAGGATGAGTACATTTTGTCTGTTTGTCACATAGCACTGTTTTGTGTAGTTCTTTCGTTTATATTCTTTGTCTTTGGGGGATGAACCCTGGCCAAACCGTGCCATGTGTTAGGGGAAGAAAACCTCTTTTTGACAGCACATTCCTGCTCTGTGGTGGTTGTGATATCACCAGCATATGGCATGCTGGCATCTCTGCAAAGGGGCCAGAGGTCTGAGTCTTAGGAGAAATCTTTAGATACAGACAAGAGCCAAACCTGGTCTTTTAATAACATATTTTGGCACATTTACACATGTCATTTACACTAATCAGTCAATTGTGCATTTTTCCTTTGGGGGGGAAACAAACTTGAAGTTTTCTTAATGCTTGTTGTTTATCCCTAATGAGAATTGAGTTAAACGAAAAGTATATATTACTGGCATGGGGGCATACTGTCAACATTTGATATTTGATTTTGCATTTGAAAGTTATTCCTAGTATAACATTCATTGTGTTTTATTCTTTCTCTAGACAAGTTGGCATTAAGAATGGAATGTTTTTTGGGCAAGCTAAACAACTTTGTCCTAATCTTCAAGCTGTTCCATATGATTTTCATGCATATAAGGAAGTTGCACGAACAATGTATGAAACTTTGGCAAGGTACAGCATATACCACAGTCACTTTCATGTCTGTTCTTTTACTTCTTATATTTAATAATGAAGAGAATCCAGCTTTCTTTAGGGTTGGCAGGGTCATATTTGCTAGACTCTTAACCTCTTTCAGTGTCCCATTCCTCAGCAATTCCAATAATCAGTAGCTCAATCTTAAGGGACATGTTTGCACTTCTCAAACTGTTCAGGTGCTTCCTGATAATAGGTATAAACAGGTTCTCTGCCTGCATAACTTTAGTTAAGTGGCTCTCGTTTTCTTCCCTTGGAACCCAGACAGATGAAAGATTGGCATTTTTTAACCTAATTATAGTTTCGTTTATGATTAGATAAATGGGTTAACAAGTGGAGACTCTAAAACCATTTATCTTCTAAAATCATTAACCCAGACAGATGAAAGATTGGCATTTTTTAACCTGGTTTTTTTCTTTTATTATGTTTGAATTATAGTTTCGTTTATGATTAGATAAATGGGTTAATAAGTGGAGACTCTAAAACCATTTATCTTCTAAAATCATTAGGTATGCCAAAAGTTAGTTTTTAAGTTTTTAGTATAGTTTCAGGGTGGTTGATTAGTTGGCTTGAGAAAAGGAGGTTAATTTTTAGTTGTAGTGTAGGTATATTTAATATTAATTCAAAACTCAAAATTTAAAATAAATATATTGCAGGCCATGCATGGTCTGAAGCAGCAGTCAGCATATTTTTTTCTATAAAGGGCTAGAAAAGGTCTGTCCCAGCTCCTCAACTGTGAAAGCAGCCACAGACAGAAGTATTAGTGAATGGGCATGGCTGTATTATCGATTTACCAAAACTATCTGGACAGTAGGCCAAGGTCTGTTGACCTTTGGAGTATATTAATGTTCTAAGAGATCCTTCTTGTACCTCTGTCTTCACCTCTTCCTCTCCTTTGTTACACATTATTTTGAATATCTATTTATTATCTATTAAATGCAAACAGTTGTTGATGGTGCTGGTCCTACAGAGAGGAATGAGATTCAGTCTCTGTTTGATCAAGAGAGAGAAAATAAAAGGAACAGATGACGGTATCTGGCATTAGTTTGTGGGTCTGAGTGCTGAATGATAAGCCATTTATAATCACAGCTGTCCTTAAGATCCCACATATGGGAATGTTGGTGTTACCAAGTTTTTAAATCCTGTTCTAGAGCTGGGGTCAATAGAAGCATCCAAATAAGGGCTGAGAATGGATGACTGAGCTGGGTAGTGGTACAACTGTGTTTTGAGTATCAAGGCATTCAAGCAACTGTCAGCCTGAATCTCACATCAGGAGGATTTGAGAGAGAGCCATGACACATACTAGTCCTGAGATAATTTTAGTTTGTGCAGACATTGTCAGTGACATGTGGCTTTGCTATGGGAAAAAATTCAGTGGTGTTCTCCTTTCACTCTTTGGAAATCCTGCCTCGACTTCATATTCTCCATGTTTCAAGTTAGCTTTCACTCTGAAGCAAAATTCTTCAGATCAGGTGCACCCTTCTGCTCTTACCTTTATTTAAGTGTAAACAAAACACTCATTTCTTAAATGAATACAGATATTCAATATTCATTAACCTGATTTGTAACCTGCAGTAAGATGTGGGTGAGATGAGGCATAGTATACCTTACCATGTAGATTATTAAAGACACATTTTTGACCTCGAGGCCTTTCCAGTTGCCTTACATTTGTGGTCCACATATTGGATTAGCTTTGGAGCCTTTCTTTTCCTCTTCTGTAGCTAATTAAAACAAGGCCTTTGTGTAGATCATAACCAAAACCCAAAGTATTTCTACATTCAGGGAATGTCATCTGTGTTCTTTTAGACAGGTATTTGGGGTGATTGACCTTTATATCCTTTATATCCTATCCTATATCCCTATCCCAGGTCTGCTACAATGAAAAGTATTTAATTATGGTGTTTTTGTTTAGGAAATCATCAGTTACTTAATTTGATTTGTGTAATTTTTCTGTCCGTTTGGGATTCTGATAAACCATGTTTGAAAATATTTTAGATGTTCTGACAGTTCTAATTCACCCACTAATTTTTAGATGTTCAGAGTTTTACAGTATAGAGAAACTGGAATAATAATTTCTGTTGTATTTTTGGTAGTTATAGGAAATGAGAAAATACTAATTCGTTTTACAGTTAAAAGTTAGGTGACTAAATAGTGGTACTTGGGTCAGTTTAATTAAAATGCTAATACTGTTTAGCATTTTAAGTCTTATTAGGAAATGTGAAGAAAGATGCCATAGGAAGGCTGGACTTGGTGCAACATTAGTGTCTCCTAGATGGCAGGCTGCGCCTGGTTCACTGCCTTTGCTCTTTTGTTGATAGCTACACACATAACATCGAAGCTGTGAGTTGTGATGAAGCACTGGTAGACATCACTGAGATCCTTGCAGAGACCAGACTTACTCCTGATGAATTTGCAAATGCTGTCCGCATGGAAATCAAAGACCAGACCAAATGTGCTGCCTCTGTTGGAATTGGTTAGTGTACAGCTTATCTCATATGATTCATTTTACTCAAAGTATTGTTTTGTGATCACTGAATATCGTTTAATATTTAAGAGTGATTTTTTTTTTTTTTTTTTTTTTTTTTTTTTATCATACCACATAGGCCCCTGACTTCTAAAACTGTTCTTAGTATCACTCATATTTGTGTAATACGTGAGATAAAAGTGTTAGAAACGTAAGTCAGTGATTGATAATGGTATCTTTCAGATAAACAAGTTGGAATATTTTAGTTTTTCAAAAAATGGGGAGAATTGAATTCAATATTTGTAAACATACTCTTTAAAAAACACTTTCTTTCTTACATGTGTGTTAAAAAACACATACTCTTTTTTAACACTTCCTGAGAGGAGGAGGGGGCATGCCACACCACACAGGGCCACATGGAGAAGCCCCCAGTTTTGGTCAGGAGGCAGAAGCAGGGTGAGAGGAAATCCTAGGCCACAGCCTGTATTGGGGTTTCTGTGGGAAAAGCTGGACAGAGCAAAGCAAACAGCCTTGAATTGGCTACTGTGGATAATCCTGTGGTTTTAGGGCTATATGCGGAGATCTCTAGTCCCCTGGTACCTTGGCCCTGGGATGATTTAGGGGAGGAAAACACTGTTTTTGTGTGTGAGCTTGATGAGATGGTTGGGGGTGGCTGGCTTGCATATGAGAGATGTTGATAGGTGTTGATATGACAGCTGTTTGCTGTCCTTAGGAACCAGCTAGCCCTCTCCCCAGCCAGCAAGATTTTAAAGGTGTCAGAACATGGTATCATAAGATACAGAAAATAAAAAACATGATTAATACATTCATAGCATTCTTCCTGTTACTAGCTGGCCTACCTTTATCCTCCCACGTTTGGCCCGCAGATCCTTCTCAATATTCATTTAGGGCTTATTTTCTGTATTCCAGTATCTGGCATGGGTTTTGTTTGTTTTAACTTGTACTTCTTTCTAATTTACAGGTGTGACAATGTGAGTACAGTACATTCTTTTAAGTTTAAGCACATAATTAAAACAAAAATCCCACATGATACTTCCATTCCTCAGCCCCCTCTCCACAACTCACCACTTTTATCGTTTTAGTATGACTTTGCAGAACTTTTCCTCTTAATGAATATCTACATATCTACCCTAGGAAAACCCATAGTTGTTATATAAGTCTTCCGTAAGACTGAGGCATATCCTTTTTATAAGTCTTCCATAAATTCTGGAGATTTTATTATTTACATAACAATTTACCTGACACCCTCTCACAGACCCCTGATACCATCTCTGTCCCTGGTAGCCTTTTCCTCTGCTCTGCATTACTTCTCCATGTCCATACCACACCTGGGACCTCACTGTCACTATCTGTCTTTGTTTTCAAGATGCTCATACCCTCAATTTCTCCTGCACATGGTTTTTTGTTTTTTTTTTTTTTAATTAAATATAGTTTGTTGTCAAATTGGTTTCCATACAACACCCAGTGCTCATCCCAACAGGTGCCCTCTTCAATGTCCATCACCCACTTTCCCTTCTCCCCCACCCCCATCAACCCTCAGTTTGTTCTCAGTATTTTAGAGTCTCTTATGGTTTGCCTCCCTCCCTCTCTGTAACTTTTTGTTTTTTCCCCTTCTCCTCCCCCATGGTTCTTTGTTAAGTTTCTCAGGATCCACATATGACTTAAAACATGTGGTATCTGTCTTTCTCTGCCTTACTTATTTCACTTAGCATAACACTCTCCAGTTCTATCCATGTTGCTACAAATGGCCATATTTTATTCTTTCTCATTGCCAAGTAGTATTCCATTGTATATATAAACCACATCTTCTTTATCCATTTGTCAGTTGATGGGCATTTAGGCTCTTTCCATAATTTGGCTATTGTTGAAAGTGCTGCTATAAACATTGGGGTACAAGTGCCCCTATCCTGCACATGTTCTGATTATATAGTGAGACTTCGGGTTCCTTGGGTTCCCTTCCCCCGCCTCTCCCTGCCCCCATAACCCCCCTTCCAATAGCACTCCTTTGGCTTTATTTCCCTGCCTAGCCTGGATGCATTGGTTGGTGGGATGATCTGATTTCTGATCATTGCCTTCAGTGCCTGTAAACTTCCAATCATAAGATTAGGACTATTTTTTCTGTTCCTTTACCAGGGGTAGGAGGTGTTGAAATGACACTCAGTTGGGAACAAAGGGAAACCCCTATCCAATAACCATGTGGATTATAATCTGTCATACTTAACAAAATTCTGCCAGTTTTGTACTGTGTTTGAAATGATCAGAAATGAAAATTGTTTTTCATTGTTTTTGAAAGAAATTGGATAGGTAATTTGTCTGTAGATGTCTTTTTTTAAGAAATTTAAAAATAATTATGAATATTTCTTGAACATTTTTTTTTAACTTTATAGGTTCTAATATTCTTCTTGCTAGAATGGCAACTAGAAAAGCAAAACCAGATGGGCAGTACCACCTAAAACCAGAAGAAGTAGATGATTTTATCAGAGGTCAGCTAGTTAGTAATCTACCAGGTAAATACAGATCTGTGCTTTTTAACTTTCATTTATTGTAAACATTTATTAGTGCTTTTCATAGTTTTGGAACATAATTCTTTTCCAAAACATGATTATATATTTTTTTATCCTTGATTAAGTGCCATGAAAACTAGAATTTGAAATTCTGCAATGAGTAATTCCTTACCAGGACCTGCATGTTACCTTTTACTTCTGTTTCTCGCATCTTTTAGTTTAAGTATTTCTCAAGTGACAAGATCAGGGGATGCTAAGAAGTCATTTTAAATATGATGAAATTGACGTTTCGCCCCTTAAATAAATCATAATTGAAATTGTGTACTTCTAGGCCACATACAAAGTTTGAGAATCGATACCCCTATTTATAAAATTATACTGCTGCACTTGTGACAGGTTTCTGAATTTAGTAAGAAAAGTAGAAAATGTATGAATCATATTAGGAAGAGTAAAGCCTAAAGATGAAGTGTTATGTTTTGTTAACTCAGAGGTTGAAGTAAAATGTCTATCTCCACCTTTCTCTGCTAAGGGCCAGGATGTTTAGTTATTTTATATTTTTGTGTGGTTACTGTGTGGCTAACAATCCTAGCATGTAAAAATCTTTCCATAGACAAATCATCAAATATAACTGAAAAACAGTTGCCCTTTTGAGGCCTGGAATAGATCTAATTTTTTTTGTGTGTAGGACAATTCCGGTGGGGCTCAAAACCATGAACTGTAAGATCATGATCTGAGCTGAAATCAAGGGTCAGATGCTTAACCGACTGAGCCACCCAGGCGCCCCAGTAGATAGATACCTCTTTCTAAGAAATGTCTCTAGGGGAAGTGTCAGACTCTTGATCTCAGCTCAGGTCTTGATCTCAGGGTCAAAAGTTCAAGCCCTTTGTTAGGGTCCATGCTGGATTTGAAGCCTACTTAGGAAAAAAAAAAAAAAAAATGGGAGTTTAAGCTTTTTTTATTAGCCATCTCTATTAGTTTGCTAAGGCTACCATAACAAGATACCATAGACTGCATGGCTTAAGTAACAGAAACTTATTTTCTCAGGATTCTGGGGGCTAGAAGTCCAAGATTGAGTTGTCAGCAGGGTGGTTTCTTCTGAGGCCTCTCTCCTTGGCTTGTAGACTGACCATCTTCTCCCTGTGTTGTCACATGGTCTTTTTTCTTTATGCGTCTGTGTCCTAACCTTTTGTTACAGGGACACCAGTCATGCTGGATTAGGACCCACTTGTATATGACCTTATTACTGCAATTACCTCTTTCAAGTTCCTGTCTCTAATTATAGTCACATTCTGAGGTATTGAGTGTTAGAAGGAGACACAGTTCAGTCTATCACACCATCTTCTTTAAACTGAATCATTTTTGTTAGTTTTGTTTGTTTGGGGTTTTTTGTTTTCTTTTGTTTGTTTATTTTTACAAGAAATAGAGTTTTTAGTTCCTGAAACTGGCAATTTTCCTTCTCACTTCCTTTTGTTTCCTGGCTGGAGGGACTTTATTTCTTGAAGGGCAAGTTTTTGAAGTTCCATGTCCTGGTTGAATTCTTAGCACAGCATTGAATTTCCTAGGGGATGTCTGAAATATAGTGAGGGGTGGCAAGATTGGCTCCCTCTGGCAAGCCATCTTCCCATGTGGCCTCCTGTCTTCAAAACCAGGTTGTATCCGCCCAAAATTCTTCATGTGATTTCCATGTGTCTATCAACTTTTAGCAAATTCCCAAATTCTTAATCAGATAAATTTAGAACATTTCAGGTATGCAAAATGTCACTTTGCTGTTGTTATGCCTGTCTTGAAGATGGCGTTATAATCATCTTTTTTCCAAAGTGTGCTCCACAGAATACAGGCTGTTCCTTTAAAAAAAGATTTCACATGTGTGTGGGTACCATCCCTGGTGGAGACACACATAGTAAAAGTTGAGAATTGTTGCAGTAACCATATTTTTGTTAGGAAGCAGTCATTTCCCAAAGATAGTTGAGGATGAATAGATAGTGCCTATTAACATCTTGTGGAAAATATGATATTTAATATGATAGCTCTCTGGCCAATAACCAGAAGAAACTCAGGATGAATGAACACACCTCCCCCATTGTCCTCTGCAACCTCTTTTTGGCCCTCTGTGCCCATAAATGTATACATGGCACACAGTTGTCTAGCACAATATATACAATTACTGTAGCTACTTCAGAAAGAGAAAACACACTTCCAATAAGTTTATGTTTTAGGGGACTCTACAGAAAAATGATTATATGTTACACTAACATTACCTAATGAGACCTGTTTTATTTAATTAAAGAAAGGATTGTCCCCAACAGCTATTTGAATACAATAGCCACTTCTTTGAGTTCTTTGGATCTTTGCAAGGCTTTTCACCTTATGTGTGCGCCCTTAACTGAAGGACCTGCTGCACCTGGGTTTGAGCACCCAGCCTGCGGTTGCCATCTCTTCATGCCATTCTTAGAGAAACACCATGAACATGTAGGTGTACATAAAGATGTGCGCTGTTCTGATACGGGAACCAGTAACTAAGTGAAGCTAGGAAGATTTAAGATTTAATTAATTATAGTCAAATAAAATTCATTTCCTCATCTGCACTAGTCACATTTCAGTGCTTAATAGCCACATGTGGCAAGTGCCTACTGTATTAGACAGCACAGATAATATTTTCATCATCACAAAAAGTTCTCCTAAACAGTGTTAATTTAGACGGTGAAAACTTTATTCTTCTATGGCACTGTCAGTGCCAAGTCTGGATGCCAGGGGAAGAGATACTACTGGCTGTTTTTAATCTAGAATAATAGTTACGCTTCAAGGACAGATAACAAGTCTTTGTCCCAGTGGCTGGACCGGGAGCTTCCACATCTCTTTTTTTTTTTTTTTTTTTTTTTTTTTTTTTTTTTTTTTTTTTTTTCCTCTTCTCACTTGGTTCTAGGCTAGCATATTTTCTTTCACTTTCCTTTCTAGGTGGCTGCACTCAGTTTGAGCCTCAAGACCCTATTACTTTGTCCTTAGAGGTGTCTCCTTTCCTTTCAAATACATGATGCAGTCACTTAAACTAGCAGTCCTCTTAGGGTTTTGGTGCTGATTAATTTTTCCTCCCCACGCAGTATGGTAGGGGTTAGAGGTGGGCTGCCGTCCCCACATGCTTCTCTCTCCTGTTCAACTTCAGGGCCATTCCATTTCATTAGGTAAGCTTGCAGCAGACTGGGTCTTTTGTTTTTCCCTAGAGGGACAGTGTACTTAGATTAGGTTGACTGTAGTTAATTTGGTGATATTTAATATGATAGCTTTTCTTTTGTACCTACTGGCTAATAATCTGTTCTGCTGTATTGAAGATACTGTTCAGAAACAGTAGGTTTTCCCACTGCCACACCCCAGCACACATAGAATTAATCCAGGATTATTGCCTCTTGCTGATTTTGCAAGTCAGAACATATCAACAACTCTCCAGTTCTCCGAGGGAACACGAATAGTGTGTCATGTGTGACTTTGGCCAGTTTAGTGTCTTTCTTGAGTTTCTCCTCCCCATCATGAAAAATACTCAGATAGGTTTCACTTAGAATTTCACCTTTTTGTGAATGATACTCCTCTGGTAGATTTTGTTGTTGTTAAAGCTGACTCTGGTATTCTTTCTTGTTCTCTGTTCTTACTTGAACTTTAAAATGGCACTGATGGGAGGCAGCACCCTTAACACCTTTCATCTAACTTCAGGAGGGAATAACTTTTCCCACCTCCATGGCCATAGATCTCTTGTAAAGTTGGCAGCCTCCTAACCGTGGTAACTGCTTCAAAGAAGTTCTCCTGGCAGAGCCTGGACTAGACCAGTTGTCCTTCTGCCAAAGACCATTGAGAGAATAGACACTGGAAGAATGATAAGTAATGAGCAGAACATAGCAGACTTCACTCTGAGCTCTCCGCCAAGCTCCTACAGAAGACCAGAAACAGTCTTTTTCTCATTGGTGGAAATTACTGATTTGATGGTGCAGAGCCATCGTGACAAGAATTTTAGTTTCCTAGGTTACTCTTAAATATCTCTCTTAGATATGTGTACCTTTGTTAAGATCTTGGGCAAATTGAGAGTGACAACTCATCAGTATCCTCCAGGTGAGGCTCAAACCTTGCATCTGGAAGAGAAGGAGACAGGGACTGTGCTGCATGCAGGAGAGCTGAGACCTTTTCAGGGAGATCGTCTTTGTTGACAGAAGAAATCTATCTTGTCCCCGCTGCCACTTTGTTTGCTTAGGAACCTTCATCCTCAGGTCACTTTGTCCAGTATGACAGCAATAATGTTTGTAGTTTTGGACCTACGTTGAAGGTTCTCGTTTTAGTTTCCATTCATAGCAAGTGAGGCTGAAAGTGTCGAGAGGTTTGGCCGTCACAGAAATCATGGTAGAATTCCTAACACTTGGAGTCCCACTAGGTCATACTGTAGGTCATACTGTAGACCTGTTTAAATAGGTCTGTAACTTCATTAGTTGATTCTGTGAATAGGAAATCCTAATATTACTCAGTAATAAAGATAGCATTCCTTTGAGAACTTACCTAGTTACACATATTTGAGAAGGTTCACCTATATGTAGAACTCAGATTGAGAAGTAGTTTCTAGAAATACCTTTACTAGCAGTTGCGCTAAAAAATTCTTGAATCTTTGAGATGCTTCAATTATGTCACTTAAAAATTTTAAGAGAAATTATTTTAAACTAGTTTTTTGGGTGAATAATAGTTCTTTAACATTGCTGAATTGTTTTTAATGGTTTATGTGCAGAATTATAGAACTATACATATCTCCTTTTCTAGGAGTTGGACGTTCAATGGAATCCAAGTTGACATCTTTGGGAATTAAAACTTGTGGAGACTTGCAGTATATGACAATGGCAAAACTCCAAAAAGAATTTGGTCCCAAAACAGGTCAGATGCTTTATAGGTTCTGCCGTGGTTTGGATGATAGACCAGTTCGAACTGAAAAGGAAAGAAAATCTATTTCAGCTGAGATCAACTATGGAATAAGGTTTACCCAGGTACTGATCTCTTAACGAGTTTTATCCATTTACTCTTATCTCTTCACATAGTCCCCCTCTCCAACTAGTCCGTAGACTCTTGATGCTTGAAGTGAAGACTTTACACTCTTGCTGCTTCCGTGGCTTGCAGAATATTTGTTTTTAACAGACACTTAGCAGGATATAAAGAGTATATATGTTTGGTTTTGAAAGTGAAAATACTTGAGAATTATTTGGTATGTAGGAAAATAACATGGGAGATCTGCTGTGTTTGTCTCTCCATAGCCAAAAGAAGCAGAAGCTTTTCTTCTGAATCTCTCAGAAGAAATTCAGCGACGACTTGAAGCTGCTGGCATGAAGGGTAAACGCCTGATGCTCAAAATCATGATACGAAAGCCTGGGGCCCCTGTAGAAACTGCAAAATTTGGAGGCCATGGAATTTGTGATAATATCACTAGGTAAGCTTATTTAAAAGAGTTTGGATAATTGATATTTTGGTGCAGGTTATTACAATTAATAGAAAATGAAGAAAACCAAGGAAGAGTATGAATAAAGATCTCTGAGTTCAGAGGATATCTGGTACTCTGCAGCGCTGGGCCTCAGCCCAAGGCCATTGCAGCTGTGTCACTGCCCTCAGGTTTGGCTACTCACATGCACCTGTGTGCCTGACCTTCAGCAGGGTCTTCAGGCTGTTGACTTCAGTGCACGGACAGAAGGAAAGGGAAAGGCTAAGACCTGCCACTGTGGCAACAGTTGTGACAGGGTCTTGGAGGGGTGAGGGTCAGTACAGTGATTCAGAAAGTGATTTTAATGAGACATTTTCTTTGTTTAGGGAGGTGTAGTTTCTGTGTCTGAAATGATTATTGTAGTCTCTCCAAACTGGTAGAAAGCATTTAAAACCCCCTTTTATTAAATATGAGGGCCACTAATATAAAACTTCCTGTGAAGTTTGTGACAAATATGAAAATACCTAATTTTGTGTGCCATTTTGTTAACACATGGTACACCATATTTTATCTGTCAGATCAACCAAAGCCTTGAGACTTCTGACCCTGAAAGCCACACATAAGGAATTGTTAAAAAAAAAAAAAAAAAAAGTTAAGGGTTAGTTCATGCCTGCCATAGAAATTATGTTTGCGTGTATAGTGATGTTGCCACAAGTCACAAGAGGACTGCTCTCCATTACAGGCAGATTCTAGCTTTATCATTCATGCATTTGTTCACCATGAAAACGGGTTATAAATTGTACTTTAAACAACACGTTTATAAAATACCTTTTTAGGTAGTTGGTAATCTTTATTATATTTACCTATTTTTTTAAATGTTTATTATTTTGAGAAAGAGAGCACAAGCGGGGCAGGGGCAGAGAGAGAGAGAAAGGGGGAATCCCAAGCAGGCCCTGCACTGTCAGCACAGAGCTTGACGTAGGACGGGAACTCAAACCGTGAGATTATGACCTGAGCCAAAACCAAGAGTTGGGTGCTTAACTAACTGAGCCACCAAGGCGCTCCTGTATTTAACCTATTTTAATCAACATTTTGATGTATCTGTATTTTAAATGCTGTATTAGTTAAATACAGTGTTAGTGGTCTTTTCTATAACAAGTTGGTTATGAGGCCCTAACTGGAATAGAGTGATCTTTTTACACATGGTTTCTATGAGAAAATCAGATCTAGTTTATTAATACCTTTCTTGGGAATGCAACCTAGAACTTGCTTTGTACAAGGTACATGAAAAGGATCATCCAAAAACTAATTTTTCTTTAGAAAGAGAACTGGCAGTAGAGTGTCCTTTTGTCATGTATGCATTTTTAAATGTCTTAGCATTGTATATTTTGGTGCATCAGCAGTACCTGGGGGCTCACTCTGTCTAATTTTAGTAAGAAAATCAGCCTTCATTTAATCCTTTTTGGAGAATCCAGGTACTCCAAAAATATAACAGTAAGAAAAACTAGGATTAATTATACTGAGCCCCCTGCCCCCCCAGTTGAAGGATAATATTCAGCCTTTTTTGTAAGCACATACCTCCTTGCTGTTGTTAGTATTTGTTCCATTTTTGTTCTGAACTTAAAAAGTTTTATTATGAAAATTTTAAACATATTTAAAAGTAGAAATAGTACAACTATTATGAACCCATTACCTGATCTCAACAGTTGCTGTCAGCTCCTCTGATACCATACTTCCTCCCCTTCTCCCAGTGATTTTGAAGTGAATTTCCTATACAGCCTTGTTTCTTCCATAGGTATCTCAGTGTTTGTCTCTAACAAGATGAGGACTCTTTGTTTGGTGACCACAGGACAGTTCAAAACCTGTGTAGAGGCACCTAGGTGGGTGGCTCAGTCGGTTAAGCATCCGACTTTGGCTCAGGTCACAATCTCATGGTTTGTCGTTTTGAGCCCCACATCGGGTTCTTTGCTAATAGCTCAGAGCCTGGAGGCTGATTCAGATTCTGTGTCTCCCTGTCTCTCTGCCCTTCCCCTGCTCGTCCTCTCTCTCTCTCTCCCTCCCTCCCTCCCTTCCACTCTCAAAAATAAACATTAAAAAAAAAAAAATTGGGGGCCCAAGTGGTTCAGGTTAAATCTGACTTCACCTCAGGTCATGATCTCAGTTTGTGAGTTCAAGCTCAGAGCCTGAAGCCAGCTTCTGATTCTGTCTCCCTCTCTCTCTCTGCCCCTCCACTGCTCATGCTGTCTCTCTGTCTCTCTCAAAAATAAACATTTAAAAAAAAAATTAAAAAAAAATGTTTTAATGTTAAAAAAAAAAAAACACCTGTGTATAAAATGTACATTTTGCTGTGCCCTTAAAATACTAACTTTGGATAAGATGATAATGAAAAAGAACACATGATGAATCAGAACAAGTGTAATTTTATAAATGTTACCAAAATGCAGATCGGTTATAAACCATTAACTTAAACTTAACATTTTGGTAGTGTTCTAACTGCCCGAGGAAGGCTTTAGGTGTGGGATTATGAAATATTATAACACTGACCTTGTATTTCCTCTAATTCAGGGGTTGATACACTCTTTCCTGTGGGCCATATCCATCCTTGGGCCTGTTTTTATGTGGTCTTTGTGAGCCAAGAATGATTCTTATATGAAAGTTTGTAAAGAGTGAAGACCATGTGAGAGGAACCACAAAGCACAGGCGATTCATTCTCTGGTTCTTTACAGAAACAGGCTGTGGGCGCCTGCTGTAGTCCCCACTGAAGTAATGTTGGGCTGAGTTAAGCAGTGGTAGTCCACAGTCCATGATTCTGTTACCTCTTGTAATGGGCCCTGATCAAAAGATACATGGCAATCATGTGCCTTGCAGACTCTGATAGGTTATAATACTGTAAGAGAAAGGATTCCATTTTAAATTGCATGTCAAAGAGCCATATGTAGGTTGAGATCTTTGGCTTGATTATCACGCGGAAAAATTTTCTCTTAACAGTTTTCCTTTGGGCAAAGACTTTTTTCCCCCTTGGAGTTCTTCTGTGTATATGTATTTTTAATTTGAATTTTATACACACACACAGTCCCTTGCACTACTTCTCTTTCATTGCCTATTGCTGTTTCCCCTGTATGCACATTTCCTTTGCCCCCAGGCAGTGTTAACATTATTATGATCATGTGCACACTATGTGGATGAGCATATAGTCCACTGTGACCTCATTCCCTTTTTTGTTGAACTTGTTTTTCCTGGAGTTCTGAGCATCTTGTTTTGTTTGTTGGCTTTTTTTTGTGAATTTGCCATTGAGTTTATCTCCAAAGTCCCTCCTAGTGTGTTTCAGTACACCAGAATCAACTGGTTTGATCTTTTTACTTGGGGCCCTCCAGCAAGCTAAATGCAATCAGGATTAGTTTAAGACCTACTATAAAGTGGGAGTCTTGGGGTATCCCTTCTCTGTGATCTGTTGATCCCTGGTCTCCTCATCCTAGTGTCTATTGAGAAAGAGTTCATGGGCATAAATTGTTTTTGAACCTGTCTGTGCTAATGCTGAGTAGTTTTGTTGACTTAAAAGTTGTAACTTCTAGTTAGAAATTATTTCTCCTGATTTAAAGATTCCATTGTCCCCTTTTTTTCGTGATTACTTTGGAGAAGTCCAGTATTCTGATTGCCTGTTCTTTACAGATCTGTTCTTTCTGGAACTTTCAGGATTTTCTCTTTAACTCAGGTTCTGGAATTTTGTTTGGTCTTTATCTTTGTGCCAGGTACTTTGTCCATATTAATTTATTATTTCTACCAACATTTTAAACTTCTGAGTATTTTTTAAAAATTCTTTGGACATTTAAATATAGCATCTGTTATTTCACAGATGCAATATTATCTCTTATCTCTTAAATAGTCTTCTATTCCCTTTGTCACTTGTTTCTCCAGTTCCTTCTTTCTCTTTTGACTGCTTTTATATTGGAGGTTTTCTTCAACTATCTGTCTTATTTCATGCCCCACATGAAATCTTCCCATCTCCTGCCTACAGTGGGCGAGCACGTGTGAAGATGGCAGCCAGCATTCTGGTTCCTCCATAGGAAGAGCAGTCTAGGTGGGAAGGAAGAGTGTATGCTGCTTTTGAGCAAGGTGCCTCCCTCTCTTCGTGGCCATGCATGATGTCCCCTGGCTCTCAGCATCGACATTGGCGTGTACAAAATCCCAGAGGAGGGGCGATCTATGTGTCTGCTGCACGTGCACATTCTTGGTCCCTCCTCGCCCCCTTCACTGGTACCTGGCACCTCTAATCACTGAGTGTTTCTGAGGTTCTGTAGCATAAATTGGCTTATCTAAAGTTGGTGCCTTGCTTTAGGCATTTAGCAGGCATATTTGGTAACTTAATACTTACTGATACGCTTTTAGTGTTGTGAGTTACAGTTAACATTGGTCCTCTGTTCTTGTCTCCTCTCCTGTTTAGATTTTGTAGGAGTTTATGCCATTTAAAACTCATTTCAAAATAGTTAAGTGGTGTTCAGGAGAAATATGTGTTTAAACCACCAGTCCGCTAAAAACCTTGCTTTTAAGTTCTTCTGTATTTATTTGTGTTAAATAAATGTAATTAAGGTAACAAATCAATGTAAATATTTTCCTTAAAAAACTGGTACCTTTCATGGGTGTACATAATGTCCTCATGGTACTGAGAAAATAAATACAATAAAAGTAGTTTTTAGCACCTAATAATGCAGTCTCCTTTCTTCTAGAATTCTTAAAGATCTAAGAATTCTTAAAGATCTATTCTGGTCCTGCTGGGTTTTAGACAGGGTGCCACCATGTTTCCTTTGTCATTGTTGTTCATGCATTTCTTTATTGATTTCTAGAGCCTCTAAGAAATTGTTAATGCACATTCACATGTTGAAATTATGTAGTGGCTTTACTTGAGACATGATAAAAGTAGAATCAAGAACTAAAACACAGGGGATTCATCTTTTATACCTCAACATAGAGAATCTTGGAACCTAAGACTTCTCTTGGAATCTAAAACTTCATGTTTATATTCATGCTTTGGTTGCAACATAATGTTTGTATTTGTATATGCATTAACTAAAATACATCTTTTTAAAAAATGTTTTCCAGTTTATTTTTAGTTGGCCAGGTCTTCATTAGCCTGTAACTCAAAGTCCCAGTGTTCTATATGGTTTTTCTTTTACACCCTGGCTGTCAGTGTAATTAATTTGTTATACTGGCTTCCTTGAAGGGGGGGGGGGGGGGGGGGGACTCTTGTGTTCATTTTTAAGGATTATCTTTACTACTTAATTACTTAAACTGTTTTTGTAACTTTCTTTACAGCTTTCCTATATCTCTTTAAACTGTTCCATACTCGTGAGGTGCTAGTGAATATATATGGAATGTAGCTTTTGCTCCGTTAAAGTTAATTCTGTCATTTACAGGACTGTAACTCTTGACCAGGCAACAGATAGTGCAAAGATAATTGGAAAAGCTACACTAAACATGTTTCATACAATGAAACTAAATATATCGGATATGAGAGGGGTGAGTATATAACATTTTAAAATTCTGACTTTCTGTAATGTTTTTCTCACTTAAGGTTTGATCTGAGAATGGTCATGGCAGTGGGTAGTGGGTTTATGAGATTTTCAGCTTCTTTGATATGATACCAGAATAGAAAGTGAAAAACTCTGGACTTTCTCCTCTGACCTGATTTTGTTATTTTTCAGAGAAGAGTCAAATTTGTTCTGAAAGCTCTTCGTTTTGTTTTCTGCCTACAATAATTTTGTATCTTGAATTTTTACAAGTGTCTTTCAATTAACCAAGGGCTTATTTTACATACATTATCCTGCTTCTGGTTCTCATTGGTAGATGGGACTGTGAAGAGTGTGGAACTGCAAATAATACTTATATCATTGAGGTCCCTTTTAATCCAAAATTTATTCTGTGTCTGTTGATGCTCTAGAAGGGAGAATTTACCACCACAAACATGCCTTTGGGATGGATAGGTGAGAGGATATTAAAAAATGTAAAAACCTTAATTTTCTTAAGGATAAACCTTTGTAGGTTCTGTTGTGTGTGTGCTCATATGTGAGTGAAAGGCAGTTATTGGTGTGGTATCTGTGGAAGGATTAAAGAATTACTAAACCAGACATGATCAGAACTCCCTGAAATACTATTACAGTAAGGCTTTATGGTAGTGTGGGGCGGGGTGGGGGGTACAGTCTTCGAGAGCCCATGGTGTACCCAGAGCACTGCTCATCCCACTCCCCAAACCCACTTGTTTGAAAAGTTCTTCATTTAAAACAGAAAAATGGTAAGGAACTAAGGTTGCAAGTAGACTGTTCCTATAGAATCTTTTGTTTTTAATCTTAAAAATTTAGTTGATTAGAACTTCAGTGGGATATAGTATTATACTTTTTTTGGTTTTTTCTGATTCTGAAGAGATTACAGTATATTTAGATAGAAATGGATACTCCAAGATTGAGGTGAATAACTGCTCACTAGCTAGTATAGATACAGTTTTTGTAATAAATCATGTAGAAGGCTCTTTGAATACTTTAATTTTTTATTATAGAAATAGATCTAGAAGATCTTTCTAAAAAGGAATAGCTGAGAATTTTGCTTAGTTGAATTCATATTCTTGCTTTAGTTTTCCTGGAAACACATTTTCAACTCTGGTTCTAGGTTGGGATTCACGTGAATCAGTTGGTTCCGACCAACCCAGACCCTTCTTCATGCCCCACTCGTCCATCAGTTCTTCCTGGCGGGTCACACTCTGTCCTGGATCTCTTCCAGGTTCAGAAAGCGAAGAAATCCACAGAAGAGGAGCACAAAGAAGGTCAGTGGGCATCAGTGTGGTTCTTATTAATACAACAGTTGTCTGGCATGGCTCTGTGACTTTTTAAGAAACAAACGGACATTCTGGATTATGATGAATCGTTAAGTTTGTTTTACTTAAAATGGCTTAAAGTAATCCATGCCATCCTGTCTCCGATGATACGAAGAAGCTACTGTATGTATTTTCTATACTTTCAGTATTTCTGGCTGCTATGGATCTGGAAATATCATCTGCCTCTAGAAATTGCACTTTCTTGCCATCTTTTTCAACACATCTGACATCAAGTGTCAATCCTGTTACTAGCAAAGCTGAGTCTTCAGGGAAATGGAATGGTCTACATTCTCCCATCAGTTTAAAATCAAGACTTAACCTGAGTATTGAGGTTCCATCACCTTCCCAGGTATATTTTTATAGTTCTGAGTGTGATTTAAGTGCAACAGCAGTTTTAAAGTAGGGATGACATTTTTAGGTAACAGCATAGCCGAGAAGGGGAGAGGGTACTTGTCAGGGTAGATCACAGGCAGCTCATGGTGTTACAGAACTCCATATGGGAAATAATCAGGTTAGGGGAAAGGTGGTGCTTTTGCAAAGATCAGCAACTCTTGCAAGTTGTAGAACATGGATGAAAGCTAGTTCTGCAACTGCCCATCAGTAGCCACTCTACCTCTTTGTAGCGGCAATAATCACAGGGACTCCACTCTATTCAGCAGTATCGCTTTGTGATCATCAGTAGGGGCCCATGTCCAAGGTTTTTCTTGCAGCATTTGCAGACCATCCTTTCTGTAGAGTGAATGATTTTCCTAACGTAAGCGAGTAATTCCATTGGTATGGGCTGTAAACGTGGAATACTTTTGGAATTTTTGCTCCTTGTAAGGTTAAGATAGCACTTCAATATATATTGGGAAAGTCCATTTCTATGCTTCACTGAATAGTAGGAGGCTGAAGGAAACAGACATGCCAGCTGTGAGGCTGGGAAAGGGACAGCTCTAATCAGCTGGCATTGGGTCCCGGTTGCTGTTGAGTTATCCAAAAATAGTTGATCCTGGCAAAGTAGAAGATTGGCCTACCCAATTTATAGGATTCCATCTCTAAATGGAAGTGCACCGATGGGCAGAGGATTCTGGTATGTAGGCCAAAGAAAAGTTAGTTTCTACAATCCCTTTTTTCTAACTTGCTGTTGTCAGAACTAGAAGTTTTTGTATTTGGGGGCAGATAGTCTCCTGTCTGAAAGGTAAACTTCTGACCCAGGACTCCATTGTCCCATTCATTCCAAAAATGTGACGTACCCCATAGGCATTGTCCCTGCCCTTGGGAGGGGTCTGAGATCCAAGTTTGACAAAGGCTCTGTCTGCCCCTGTTGCAGTACAGATACAATGAGTATATTTGGACTTGCCTCATCCAGTGGTACTGCCCGTAGTTGTATGCTGGTCTCTCCAGACTCCACATTACTACTGAGGCCCCAATGGCAAAAAGCCAAAGACATTCCAAAAATGTGCTGCTTTGAGGGGTTACCTTTCCTATCCTGCTTCTCTGCGCCTCCTGTTGTCTGAGATGTTCAAATTGAAATTAAAGTGCTACATTAACACTCCTACCACTTCCTCTCTGAACACGCTTTAACTTCAGACTCATGTGGTATTTTATAGCTTGATCAGTCTGTTTTAGAAGCACTTCCACCTGATCTCCGGGAACAAGTAGAGCAAGTTTGTGCTGTTCAGCAAGGAGAGCTGCATGGCGACAAAAAGAAAGAGCCAGTAAATGGCTGTAATACAGGAATTTTGCCACAACCAGTTGGGACAGTTTTGTTACAAATACCAGAACCTCAAGAATCTAACAGTGATGCAGGAATCAATGTCATAGCCCTGCCAGCATTTTCACAGGTGAGTTAAATTAGGGACCTTTCACCCTACATATGCTCCGGGCAGATCTCATTTCTTTTCCTTTGGACCATAAACTCATGGTAGCTCTTGGGCCCCATATCCATTGGGGCCCAAGGCACTGGCTCATTTCTACATCATCTAAAGGACATGGACTCCCAGAGAAGGAGGACATGGTATGTAGGTGCTTAAAATTTCCACCCAGAAGTAAGAAACACATTCAGTTATTTTCTTGGCCAGGGAAGACCACTGGGCCACATTTTAAATAACTAGGTGGAGGCAGGCACCTGGGTGGTTCTGTCAGTTGAGGGTCCAACTTCAGCTCAGGTCATGATCTCACAGTTCATGAGTTTAAGCCCTGTGTTGGGCTCTCTGCCGTCAGCTCCAGACCCCGCTTCAGATCCTCTGTTATCCTCTCTCTCTGCCCCTCCTCCACTCACACTCTATCAAAAATAAACATTAAAAAATAAATAGCTAGGTGGAGATGTATAATCATAGACTAGAGACAATAACACAATCTAAGTTTGGTGTTTTTAAAAAAAAGTACTACACGTAAACCTATTTTCTTGGGTTTGCTTCTCTTTTTTTGGTGGGGGCGGGGGGAAGCATCTTTTTTAAAGTTCTTTTGAGAGAGTGAATTCGTGCAACCAAGGGAGGAGCACAGAGAAGAGGGCAAATCCCAACCAGACTCCATGCTGTCAGCGCTGAGCCTGATCTCACAACCTGTGAGCCGAAATCAAGAGTCAGAGGCGCAACTGACTGAGTCACTCTGGCGCCCCACTTCTCATTTCTTAGTGGTGTTTCTTGCCCTGGTGGTTCTGCAGTGGGTGTTTTTTTTTAAGTCAGTTATTCAGAATTTTCTTATTCTCACCCTAAAACCTTGTGAGGATTTAATGAGCTTTAATATTGAGGCCCTAGTAAGAATTTGTACAGATCAGAAAAGCATGATTTGAAAACAAAGTCTGTTTTGTGAAAAAATAGAGTCAACTCAAGTTTGACTCTGAACCTTCTCGTTTCCACTAGGTGGACCCTGAGGTGTTTGCTGCCCTTCCTGCTGAGCTTCAGAAGGAGCTGAAGGCAGCATATGATCAAAGACAAAGGCAGGGAGAGAATGCCGTTCACCAGCAGTCAGCTGCTGCATCTGGTAAGCATAAGCGTGGGAAGGGACATGTAACACAACTGATGAGGGAAATGAGGTCATTGGTAGGGTATGATTATTGTAGCAGATTAATGGCCAACATCTAAGCTGCTAATCATGTTAAGAGCTCTTTGTATTGGAGAAGAAGTATATGATGCAGGTAAGTGTTGCCCTAGACCTAGCTGGAGTTGTGTAACTTCTGACTTCCATACCTTTACTTTAAAAGTAGTCTGGGGGCACCTGGATGGCTCAGTCCTTTGAGCATCCGACTCTTGATTTCAACTCAGGTTATAATGTCAGGGTTGTGGGATTGAGCCTTGTGTGTAAGGCTTTGTGCTGAGCATGAAACCTGCTTAAGAGTCTCTCTCCCTGTACTGCTCACACTCTCAAATAAATAAAATGAATGAATGAATGAATGAATGAATTTAAATGTTTGAGTTACCACCAGAAGTCTTTTGACTACATGTCAAGACTGACAGATCAGAGTATAGGTTTAAAACTGAATGAAAGGGGCGCCTGGGTGGCTCAGTCAGTTAAGCATCCGACTTCAGCTCAGGTCATGATCTTGCAGTTTATGAGTTCGAGCCCCGTATCAGGCTCTGTGCTGACAGCTCAGAGCCTGGAGCCTGCTTCAGATTGTGTCCTCCCCTCTCTGCCCCTCCAATGCTCATGCTTGGTCCGTCTCTCAATAATAAATACATGTTAAAAAATAAAATCTGAAAGAAAGGTTCTGAACATGTATTGCAACAATGCCTGAACTGTTGAATTTTCATTTAATCTTTACAGCCCCCCCCCCTTTATAGATAAGCAATGCCCAAAAGATAAGATTTTTAGTGCCCCAAAGAAAGTGGGCACAGATAGTGGGTGTCCTACAGCCTGCGCTTTCATCCAGTTACTGCCTCCAATACTGTCTTGGTAAGAGGCCTGTGTTGGTGTGTGTGTGCGTGCACATGCAGCGTCTGTATTTAAAAGATTGCATGGTACTATCCAGACATATGTTGTTGAAGATACCACGTTCATACTTTTTTAGTGCCAAAGAATCCGTTACATCAACTAAAACCAGCAGCAATGAAAGAAAAGAAACGGAACAAGAAAAAAAATCCCGTCAGTTCCCCCAAAAAAATTCAGAGCCCTTTGAAAAACAAGTTGCTTAATAGCCCTGTGAAAACTCTTCCAGGGGCTTGTGGGAGTCCTCAGAAGTTAATCGATGGGTTTCTGAAACATGAAGGTCTTGCTTCTGAGAAACCTCTGGTAATATTTTTAATACTTTTTAAGCTTTGACCTTTTATCAGATCTTAATGTACTTGATGTTATGTAAATATAGCACTTTTTGTCATGTGTTTTCTTAACAGGGAGAACTCTCTGCTTCCACTTCAGGTGTGCCAGGCCCTTCTGGTTTGCAGCCTGAGCTGTCTGGCCACGTGAGACCCCCAGCACCCAACCTAGCGGGAGCTGTTGAATTCAGTGACGTGAAGACCTTGCTCAAAGAGTGGATAACTACCATTTCAGGTGGGCTTGGCTGGTGTGACAGCCACAGACTGAGAGGTAATGGTTCTAAAATTTTGGAACTTGAACTAGACTCAGCTATATAAATGCAACTCTTTTCTGAATCTGGTAAGCCAAAACCAGCCACCCTGTAACCTTTGAAACTCTCTATACTATAGACCACTGGTTGGATGGCTAGAAGTTGGGGGTAGTTGTAGAGATGCAGTTCTCCTTCATGCAAGCAGGCTGGTCCTTACTGAGGATTTTCCTCTCTAGATCCAATGGAGGAAGACATTCTGCAAGTTGTGAAATACTGTACTGACCTAATAGAGGAAAAAGATTTGGAAAAACTGGATCTAGTAATAAAGTACATGAAAAGGTAATTATTCAATACTTTTATCTAAAGGACAAAATGGGGCATCTCACACAGCTGCTTTTAAGGTGAGGCACAGAGCAAGTTTGACATTTGGGGGCAATCAGTTAACTAAAGTGAAAAGGGGGTAACCTTTGTTTTGAATCCCAAGCAACTGCCAGAAGATCAAAGATTGTTCCCCTTGAGGTTTATATAGTTTCAAACCATACTAAGTACTTTGAAGTGTTCTGAGGTTTGGGCCAAAATTGATTCTTACCTAAAAATGTTCACGACCCTAAGGAGATGTTAAACTGATTCTTGGAGGAGTCTTTTTACTTAAAGTTTTTTCTTAACCCACCTTTAGGTTGATGCAGCAGTCGGTGGAATCGGTTTGGAATATGGCATTTGACTTTATTCTTGACAATGTTCAGGTGGTTTTACAACAGACTTATGGAAGCACATTAAAAGTTACATAAATATTACCAGGGAGCCTGGTGCTCTCCACTAGCTGTGCCATAAGTGCTTGTGAGGTATTTGCAAAGTGCATGATAGTAATGCTCTGAGTTTTTATAATTTTAAATTTCTTTTTAAGCAAGTGTTTTGTACATTTCTTTTCAATAAGTGCCAAATTTGTCAGTATTGCATGTAAATAATTGTGTTCTTTTACTGTAGCATAGATTCTATTTACAAAATGTTTGTTTATAAAGTTTTATGGATTTTTACAGTGAAGTGTTTACAGTTGTTTAATAAAGAACTGTATGTATATTTTGTACAGGCTCCTTTTTGTGAATCCTTTAGGAAGCAAATCCTGAACTGTTTATTGTGTTTAAAGGCTGAGAAACCTACAAGCCGGACTGTTAGAGGCTCCATGCTAAGCTCTGAAATTCCCGAGAGGTCCCAGAATGGGATTCTACTTGTTCCGGGTAAAGCTTCTAAATAATTTTATCACTTTTGTCCCCAAGCATGAACACAGGAGCATGTTATGAAAACCTTCTTTACTTCTTCCAAGTGGAGGGATTTACATACTTTAAATTAGAACACACACATAATTATTAAATTTTTCTTGGGAAAATTATGTCCCACAGATGGCTTAGCAGTGGTGTCTCCACCTCTACCGTCCCTAGAGAAACTTCAGTAGTACTGAAGAATGGTACAGATTTTCAAATGTATATAAAGTATTTTTCTATGCTATGTTAGTTATGCTGTAATACTTCAAAAATATAGTTCATACATCTATGCCAGTGAACACTTGGGAACATTTTCTTTAAAACACACCCCACATTGACTTCAACACTGTGCTCTCTCTCTCTCAATAGTTACTAGAGATCTGTTAGAAGAATTAATTTGACACTAACAGATTTCTTATAATGGGGGAAGGAATAGATCTTCATGTGGACTTCCCACATGCTAAAATCCAGTAACTGATATGAACAAGTCAGTTTCTGCAACAACTTAGAAGCACTAAGCCCAAATAGTTCCCTACTTGATTGCCCCATCAGGAAATGTATGCATGGTAGAATTTTTATATCCATCTTGGTTCTAGTGTGGCTTAGAAAATCCTAATGTTAGCGTGTGCTGGTACACAAGGTAGTACACTGAGGCTGATGACTCACTCATGGAGAGAAGCTACGCTAGCATGGAAGCCTAAGGGATGTCTGTTTTCTTTATTGGTAGTTCAGAATTGTGCTGATTACAGTGGACTCTCAGGACTATACAAGCAGTAAATAGCAGCCAGCTAGGCTTTACACCATGGTTTCACACAAAGCAGATAAAGAAATAGCAGAGTGCCTAAATTTCTATTTTAAAAAATTCCTAAGGGCATATGGCAGAAGAATGCTGGGTTTGGAAAAAAAAAAATCACTGTGGGAAGGATATGCATAAATAAAGTATTTCTTACATCAAAAGAGTCCCAAGAATCACAAAATCTGCAGAAGCCTGGTTAATCAAATACTGCAGTACTGATTTAATCAGTATAAAATTGAAAGAGCTTTAGATCTGTAATAAAAATCCAAATTTGGGTTAGGGCAAACTTTAAAACAGCAGCCAGTAGAGAAGGATTGGGAAAGGAGTGGGCAGGTGAACAGGCACGTTGGAACTGTGGGGACATGTAATCGACCACTGTCAAACCAGTGTAAGTTTCTTGGTTTCTCATGGAAAACATTTTATACACCTATTTTTTTCCTTCCATACTTAAGTTCATCAGTGTCCAGATACATCCGTTCCATTTTTTTGTCGTTTTTTCTTGGTGGTATTATGACATAATATTTCATTTATTCCAATTCCTGCCCCATGTGGAAAAATTAGATGATTTCAAATACTTTCTTCAGCTCCACAATAAGCTGCCAATCACTCTTCTGCATCTCATCTCTGAACCAGTCTTTGAGGGCATCGATGGACTGCCGGCTGATCTGCAAGCCCGAGGCACAAACAGGGTCAACAACAGTGCAACCACCACATGCCAAAAAAAGCACGTGGCCCAAGGCTGACACCAGCTACTGCTCATTAAAAAGAAACCTTGGCCAAAATAACGAATGCCGTACCTGTCTGCCTTTCAGAGTAGTAAATCTCTGCAAGTCCTAGCAGGCACTCTAACTCTGTTAGGAGGCCCCTTCCTCAACACAGAGAAGGCCGCGTTATAGGTCATGCCCTGAAGAAGAATCCAGTCCTGCTGGACTGTAAAAGTTCAAACATCCAGCCCTGAGAGCTACTGTGCAAAGGTAACCAGAGAAGAGTTGACCCCCAATTTCTCTAAAATGGGCCACTTCTATGAAGACACTTACCTTACTGACAAGAATGTCTGTAGCTTCAAAATGTCTTCCATACATTTTGGGAGATTCACCAGGGATAGGTTCTATTTTGACACAGACTTCTTGCCCTTTTTTTGCAACATCCACTTGTTTATGGTTTATTTCAATACTCGTTACTATTCCAATGTCAACAAACTGTAAAATAAGAACTGCAATATAAGCAGAGGAATCATGCCAGTCACAGGCACTGCAACCTGGACAGCTAAAATAAAAACTGGAGCAAAAGAGCTAGTTTAAAAGCCTTGGCTCTGTGACCCTTCTTCATCCCTCATCACAGTGTGTTTCACTGGTAAAGTAGGGATGACCCCACCACACCCCCTGTACCCTTCACAAGATGACTGTAAGGACAAAAGGAGATCATTCATATGCTTTAAACAACTTTAAAAGTACCCTATCAATTCAATGTGGTTTATTATCTCTGCTCTACCCTTTCTCATTACAAGTGCCATAATAAGAACTGGCAGGCCTAAAACTTGAATCAGGAATGATGAGTTTGGAGTGGTCGGTATGGTGAGCAAAGGGATTATGTCAGAGCAGCAGCCAGGGATACATCTTGTGGGGCCAAGTGGGCCGAGGTTAGAGCCTTGGCATTTCATTCTGAGGATGAGAGCTGTGAACAACCTGATCTCAGTTACAGTACAGGAGAAAACCACTCTGCTGCCTGCTTATGAAGGGACAGAGGAGACAGAGAATGTGTGACCAAAGCCACAGAAGAGATAATCACTGCAAATAAATGTCCTTCCTCAGTCCACTGAACTGGTATAAAAGCAACAACTCCTAGAAGCAACAAATCCTAGTGCTCAGATGACTTCTAAGTGCCATCTCCCACTAAAGGAACCAGGTCTGGGGCAGGGAAAGTACTAGATGAGCCTAGAGCATCTCACTGCACCAGAAAGGAAGAAGATGCTCCAAGAGTTATGTGTCCAGGGCAGTCTGCAGTAGCTAGTTTGAATGGGCTCCCACTGACCAGAATGGACAAATGGGTGTGGGGGGGGGGGGGGGGGGGGGGGGGGGAATCTCAAAAATATTGGTAATGGATTAGAACATCAGATTTTTAAAAAAGCTAACTGAGTGTGTATGACATACTTAATGAAAAGCTCAGGGGAGAGACCGGTTCTTTACAGAAGTGTTAGTGGGGGGAATCAGTTTTATAAACTTAGGCAAGGATTACCAATTATTAAATCTACAGGAATAAAGGTTGTTGAAACAGGATATTCACAAGTACTCAAAGTGCCCCCAGAGATTACTTAATACTTAATAATCCAAAGGCAGAAAGACGTGGTTCTAATGGCTATCCTCAGCCAACAGCACCCTACTCAGTAAACGAAGGTGCTGCCACAGTAAGGAAGCCTGTGTGGTGAGGCTTGAGGCACACGGGAGCATCTTTGCATGCAGTATCTGTTGTAATTGTAACTTCCCTCTAATGAGGAGGAAACTGACAGATCCAAGTTGAGAAATGATCTGCAAAAGAACAGGGCTCTCCCCAAAGGATGGGGGGCTGTTCCTATTGAGACTAAAACCCATAATAACCAAATGCAGTGCACCTTGAAGGAATCCTGGACCAGGTCAGCAGATGGCATTATTAAAGACACTTGGGACAGAGCACCTGGGCGGCTCAGTCAAGTGTGTGATTCTTGATTTGGGCTCAGGCCATGATCTCATGGTTCATGAGATTGAGCCCTGCGTTGAGCTCTGTGCTGATGGAAGGAGGCTGCTTGGGATTCTCTCTCCCTGCCTCATGCGTGCATGCACATGCACTTTCTCTCTCAATGATGAAAAAAGGCCCTCAGGACAACTGGTGAAATGCAAATGAGGATATAAATTATAGGACATTATTGAGTTAATGTTAATTTTTCTTACGTATGATGCTAATTTAGGGGAAGGGAATGTGGGTGTTCATTACTCTGTTCTTTATTTTCCCCTAGGCTCGAAACTTCAAAAAGTTTTCAAAAGGGCAGTAAGTTAAAGTACCTTGCAACTTTCTTTTGCTGAAGCACCGATATCTGGTGCTAAGAATTAACACTGATTAAGGAACACTCGTAGTTAAGGGATAAATCACAGAAGGTGACAAACTCTTCTGCTTGTTGTCACCACTCCTGGCCTCCCCATTTTACTGCTTTTAAGAGACCATACTTGATTTGAAAGTACAACGAGAACTTACATTTTTGCTAGGGACGCACATGGGTGTCCCCTGTTTCACCTGACCTGCTTCCACAGTCACTCCCATCACTATTGGGTCTCGAGAATTAAAAATATACTGGGGGAGGATTTTCATCTTGCAGGGAAATACTGCTATGTGCCTAAAAGGAGGAGGAAAAAAAAAACACTAAATTTTGAAGCAGACAAAAATCACTTAAACCTAAAAACATGAATATGAGGCTTCCCCTGTCAGATAAAAGCACTTCCAGGTGGTGCCAGAAAAGCAGGAAGGACGCTGCAGAATGACCTTGGTGGTGTCCACAATGGTCCAGTCTCCGGTCCTGGGTGCATCATCCCCTCGCCATCCCCTTACCCTCCTTCCCTCTGTGCTGTCACTTCCCAAGTCTTGAAGAAGCTGCATCACCGGAGCATGCGAAGTCTCTGCCCCAAAATTTAGATGGAGCTGAGAACCTCAATAGGACCCACGGTTGGGCACACAGGCAGTTGGCTCTGGGGACCACACAGGCATCAAACCAGTCACCTTCTCTCTACCATGTTCCCAAACCAGGTGACCCAAAGGCCACTTACTGAGCATGAGCTTCAAGTCTTTCACAGTGTCTAGTAGTTTTCTTAACCAAAGTCTTTTCACTTGTGGTTTCATGATTTCAAGGGAGCATATCCCAGTCTAAATCCCAATACTCACCTGGCAGTACACTTTAAATATGTACCCCAAATTGAGCCATTCTCAGGTCTTGCCTGGAATACTGGGAGCCTGATAAAACTCCTTGCTGCCTCCCTAAAATCCTCCAAGGGGCCTACTGAGTCCCACAACTTCTCTGACCTCATCTCCTACTGTTCTCTGCCAGATTCGATGTGGCTGCCTCCCAGTGCTGTCCTTCTGCCTGGACAACTCCCTGGTCTGGGAGGCTCAGGTCATTCCCTTCAGATCTCTGCTTGAACAAGAGACCCTATGGAGGGAAGCTGTCCCCAACCACACTGCTTGCCACACTGCTCTTCCTCCTGATTTAGGCCTTCCCTGCTCTGTTCTGCTTTTCAGCACTTCACCCTACTTCTCATGAGTTCGTGGCTGTCTCCCCTGAGGTGCAAGAGGAGGGAACCTGGTCAAGGTTACTGCTGCCTCCTCAATCACCTGCAGCAATGCCACCTATACCAGGCAAGCTGTGAGGTCTGCTGGAGGAACAAGCTCTCTTCCCATGGAACACCTCACCTTATTTCATTTCCTCACCTCCCACGTTCTAATTTTGTTCCTTCCTTCCCATGTAATCCCAGATAAGGAACTCCAACAAGATAATTTTAGCAACTGCTAATCAATAATGAGACCCAGACCTGCCAATTTAAAAATTAAAAAATAAAAGGCTACACAGAGGATTTGTTAACACTGCTAGAATGCCTCAGATGGGCATTTATGGTTTATAACACATCATTTCAGGATGCTGCCTCTTCCAGATGAGCAAATGCCATGCTTCCACTGACCACACACCTTTCCGATACAGGTATCCCCTACATTTTGAAAGGTCACATGACACCACTTTGCTTTTATAAAGACTTATGTTAGTACCTGCTTTCCCTAACCAAAAAAGGAGGATTTGTGCTTTTATGAAAAAAGGCGAAAAGGAAAAATGTTTAGCGTTTTGCAGTGAACCGTTAAAGAGGCAGTGGGCACCCCAGAGTGGCCCCGCCAAACTTCCCAAGAACCACACTCAACATCTCAGTATCATGCTGCCAGGGCTGTGAGCAAGGTCTGTGAGCATCTGGGCTTCATTTTGATTTTATCTGTTATCAAGATGTGTCCTAAGGTATCAGAAGGGAGTGCTCAAAAAATTTTCCATATAAATTAACAGTAATTACTTCTTCACTATATGCCAATTCGGCTTACAGAAGGTTTCACAGGAATGCTCTACTTTTGGATAGTGGGAGAAACCTGTATTAGGCAATTCGAAGACCCAAAATAAGTAAAATCACGAACTTACTTAAATTCTTCTTGTTTCTGTTTCTTGTAGTCTTGTCTATATTTCGTAAAGGCATCAAATAAATGATAAATAATTTCTGCACTAAAAATTCTAACTCCTAAACTATCAGCCATTTCTTGTGCATCCCGTTCAATTCTCACATCAAAGGCCAAAATCACTGCGTACCTGAAAGGTTCAAACACAATAAAGACCATTCAATTAAACACAGAATATGTCAGGTAGGACAGGTTGAAGAAAATAGGTAATATTAAAGCCTTCACAGCAGGAGAGAAATTACTTACTGAGGATCATGTTCCAACATCACTGAGGCCTTCATGACATCTTTTTTATGGACTGGACCAATGTTAATTCCTGCATACTGTAGAAAGGGAGTTTCTGAGCTTAATGGCCTGTGTCAGGTAAAGGAAACAGCACTACAAACCATGACTACCACGGACTCCCGTGGAGTCAGGTAGGATTACTTACGGGCACTTCTGATGTTTTCAGAAATTCAAGTAGAGCTTCCAAAGATCCCAGTGTAGAGGCCTGGACATAGACTCCTTTTTCTTCCAACTTGATAGCATTTAGCGTCTGCTTCAACTCATGGATCAACTCATCCTTGAAAAGAAATTAGATTTGACAAGGTTGTAAATATATCTCTATTATCAGCAGCTTACAGTAAGGCTGTGTTTCTCTTTTTAATTAAGTATTTACCTGAAAACATGAAAGCAAGCCTAAGAAAAAGTAAGGCACAGCAGAACCTGTACTGGAATGGAGAAGGAGATTGGGCCCATATCTGCAATGTGTCCCATACATCTGTCTTTAGATTACTAATGTTGAAATCTATTTAACCTCTGCTGTACTTGGCAAATAAGGTAGATGGGTGAGCTGAATGAAATGAGAATCTTTTCAAAGTTAAAAAGCATTACATAAATGTAATGTGTTGCGCTAGCCTAAAGGGTCTGCTTGACTGCCTTAAGCCTTAACTGAAATACCCTAACCTCAGCACCCTTTTCCTCAGTCACTGCTCCTTTAGGGATGAAGACATTCTCCCCAGAAATAACTATAACAGCTATGTTCATGCCATAGTTGGTACTGGCCAAAGAGGAATGCGTGCCCTGTTCTTACTGGCTCTAAGGTGGCCACTTCCTTGATGGTGGTGACCTGGTGCTGCCTGAAGAATAACAGTGGTCTCAGTGTAGTAGATGAGCCGTGTGCTCGGAGCAGTGCCATTTTCTCTCTGGCAAGCGAGTACATAAACTCAAAGTTTGACTCTGTGTAACTATGCTAGACTCCGGTGGACATCTGCTCCTACAGATAGGCAAATTTTAAAATGACTTCAAGATTATCTTGAGTTCTGTCTGCATATTCTGGTATCTAAAGTTTGTTTATTTTTGAGAGAGCATGTGGGAGGGGCATAGAGAGAAAGTGCCAAGCAGGCTCTGTACTGTCAGCGTGGAGCCCAACGCAGGGCTCAGACTCGTGAACTGCAAGATCATGACTTGAGCCGGAATCCAGAGCTGGATGCTCAACTGACTGAGCCACCCAGGCACCCCTGCATATTCTGATCTTAAAAAACATGAATAGCTTCTAGCTTTTGTTTCATTTTTTATTTAAATAAAATGTGTACCTTAAAATTCTAGTCTATATAATATTAATGTTCATTCACAGGGCTGTGTAAACTGAAGTAATCTAAAAGCATCAACTGTTTGCTATGAGCCACCAGGTAAGGCTTCACAAAGACAAAGGTGCCCACTTCATTCATCATTACCAGCATGTGCCCTACTGACACACCAGCAGAACTCAAATAGCTTTGGAGGTTTAAAAAAGTAATTTACTTTAAGAACCGGGATTTCATCTTCTTTATAAGCCACCAGGAGGGGTAAGCCAGCCAATGTCTTCTCCAGGTCTTTTCCAAGAATCTTTACCCCCTGAGCTGCTTCTACTTCTTTATGCTTTTCATACTGGTTCTACAAAGATCAAAATATTTGTTACCACATTTATTGGAAAGTGGTTAATAGAAGATGATGTGAGAGACAGTATTTTCATGACACTGGGATAGGGAAATTTTTCTTAAAGTAAACATAAAAAGCAATAAACAAACATTTGTTTCATAAGATTCCACAGAAAAGGTAAAAAGACAAGTCACAGAGTAAAAGATGGTACAATACATAAAAGCCACTAACAGACTAGTATCCTGACTACATAGACAAATCCCATGACTCTGTAATAAAGACAGACAATGCTGGAACACAGGGACATTTCACAAAGGAGTGAATTTAAATGGCTAATAAACATACAAAATAATAGCCAACCATATTTCAATCAGGCAAGTACCAAATGAAACAACAATGAGCTACCAGACGGGAAAAAATTTTAAACTCTGACAGCATCAAAGAGCTGACAAGACGTGACATAATGAAAATTCTAATATACTGCAGTTGAAAGTATAACTTGTTAGACTTACTGTGGACAACAATATGGCCTTATCCAGTAAAACTGGAGCTAAGTGTAAGTGAGGACTCAGCAATTCACTCCTAGGCATACACCCTGGAGAAACTTGCACAACTACACCAAGAGATAATACAAGAATATTCGTAGGAATGACACTGCTGGTAATAATAAAAGTTTTAAAACTGGAGATCGCCTACACTTTCCATCAACAGAAGAACAGATAAACCATAATATATTCATTCAGTAGAATACTACACAACAACAAAAATCAACAATAGCTATAGGCAACAACATGGATAAATCTTAAAAGTATATTTTGACCAAAAGAAGCCAGATACAAAGGAATGGAAAAGGACTCCACATATATAAAGTCCATACAGATTTTTGAGAACCCCACACTCACGTATTGTTTAAAAAGGATATTAATTACTCTCATGGAAATGGAAGCAGTTAACTTTTAGGAATGTGGGGGACTGGGGGGGGAGGGGGGGGAGAGGGGAGGGACTAACATCAGTAAGAAGCACACAGGCTTCCGGGATATCAGCAATGTTCTGATTCTTTACCTGTTTGCTTCCTAAAAATTGGTTAAACTTGTCTTCTATGCTTATGGAATTTTGTGTTTTAATGTTTTATTTCATAATAAAAAATGTTAGTAAGAGACTACTTAGCAGTGTAGAACCAAAATAATACAGTTCAGTTTTCATGGAAAGCTTAGGTGGTAAATAAAAACTTGCACACATCTCCACTCTGACAGATGATCCTGTATGCGGGATTCAAAATAAGACAAGGAGCGAGAGCATATTAAGCCAACCAACTCTCGAAGTCAAGAAGGGACCTCAGCAGAACTTATACACAATGTACACATGCCCGTGTGTCAACACTTGCCACCCAGGCTTACCTTCACCCGTAATTCCTTCATAGGAGGAGGTAATAGGAGGCCTCGAATCTGAGTTACAATGGGCCCTTCTACTCCAGGAACGATAATCGTATCTCCTTCCTTCAAACGCCCGTTGATCAGTATCACATCTATGGTGGTGCCCATTCCTGGGAGAGCCTTAACCTAAGAGACATAATCGCAAAGGGAGTGAAATATATGCCGCACTATATTGACTGAATCTAAGAGTAGGAAACATCCCCATCCAAGACCTCCATGTTAAAAACAAAAGGGAAAATAAACTGAAAAGCTGATCATTACCTCCATAACCTGTGCTCTTAGCTCCTCACAATGTGCAAGTCTCTTGCTCAACATGGTCTGAGTTAACTCGACAAGAAGGTAGATCAAACTTCCCATGCCATCACCAGTATGTGCAGAGGTAGGTACCAAGGACACAAAAGTACGGGGATCCTTGTTCTCATAAAACAAAGCTGCATTCAAACCCTAGAGACAGGAAAAACAAAATCATTCCAAAAGGCCAAACTGGAAGGAAGTATCCAGAACAGCATGACTGGCTAGCTAATAGATAAGCAAATTACTCATCTTTCTGAAACTCCTCAAAAACACTCCAGATCATGTATAACCTGTAGGTATTAGTTGTATCACAGAAAAGCAGTGGCTTTCCCAGTCAACTTTATTTTTAAAATTTAAACATTCAGACTTTACAAAGACAGATCTTTGAAATATCAGCTTTCTAACTTAAAAAGGGATAAGGGAAAAGAATGGAGATCATTACTTGCCAGTGATAGGGGAACAGAACCAGTATTAGTGAAAATGCTAACTTTATTATAAGGACAATATAACAAAAGGAAAAGTATTCTATAATATAGGCTCTTCACTAAGAAGGGAAAGTTTTCTTACCTGCTGTGCAAATTCTACAATAATAGCCTTTGCTCGCTCCTCAAATTCATCTTTTGTATTCTTTTTCTGCTTCTTTAAAGTAGCAGCCACATCAGAGTCAGGGCTCTTTTTCCAATCATACAACCTATCAATCTGGACAAAAATTTTTCATAAGAAACATCTTGAAAACATTCAGAATGCTAAGGAACTTAATTAAGTTCCTAAAGTAAAGTTCCTAAAAACTCCTAGTGTATATTATACATATTCAGAAGAGTGTGAATTACTCAAATATTTTATTATACCAAAAAGCCCATACAACCCGCTTAAACTGCAGTCCCTTAATTTATTTTCATTTTTAAATTTTTTTTAATGTTTATTTATTTTTGAGAGAGAGAGAACATGAGTGGAGGAGGGGCAGAAAGTGAGAGGGAGACACAGAATCTGAAGCAGGCTCCAGGCTCGGAGCTGTCAACACAGCTCGAATATGGAGCTCAAACTCACAGACTGCGAGATCATAACCTGAGCTGAAGTCAGATGCTTAACTGACTGAGCCACCCAGGTGCCCCTAACTGCAGCCCTTCTTCAACTAGAAACTTCTGAGGTAACAAGCTGCCCATGAGCCTCCAAACCAGTTCATGAGAGGCTGTCATTTGTTTGCAAAAGATGAGATCCTAGAATTATCCTGGCACTATTAGCATATGTTGCTGGAATTCCAAAATGGTTTTGTTTAGTAAATAAAAATAAGAAATATAGCAAATATCATTACCAGGAAAATTACAGCAAAAAAAAAAAAAATAGTAATAATTGCATCCTATTTCAGAGAACAGTCCATTTTAATTGTTTTATTGCTCACATTAGATTTACTCTGTTAAATAAATCATGTACTTTCTTTCACTTTTCATAAGTGTGATGAATGGGTATAGACAGGAAAACTAATTAGTAGGAAAAAGAAACGAGCAAAATCCATCTCCTAAGTCTAGGGTTACAATATAAAGAAGCTTCCTCAATCTGAATGCTACAAAGGAGAAACATTAGTAAGTAGAAACAGATCCAGAAATGACAAAGTTGATATAATTAGCATACGAGATCCTTAAAACAATTATTATAAAATATGTGACTTTAAAGAAAAAATATGAAGAGCTTTAAAAAACACATAATATGAAATAAAAATTTACGAGATAAGCTTAACAGTAAATTACATATTACAAAAGAAAAGACTGCAGGCCTTGAAGATATAGCAATAAAAACTCCCAGCTGAAGCATACAAAGAAAAAAGAATGAAAGAAAACCTTAGTCACTCATGAAAAACCTCTGAATAACCTAATTTTTGTAAACAGACGAAGACTATAAATCCACAGATCTAAGAAAATCATTACAAAATCTCACTAATGAACCTTTAAAAGGAAAGTTCTTAAAAACAATCACAGAAAAGGATATATTATATACAAAGAAACGAAGGACTATTAGAGATAAAAGCCATAAAGCAATAATGATGAAGGAAAAAAATATTTTTTAAATCTGGAATTCCATATTCAGAAAATTATTTGATCTAAATAATAAAAGCATAAAATATGTAAGCAGCGCTTAGTGAGCTAAACTTACCCTCAAATATTTCTATTAGATAAGAAAAAAATATCTGAAATCAACAATCTAAGATTCCACCTTAAGAAGTTAGAAAGGAAGAGGACAGGAAAATCAAAGAAGAAAGAAGCAAATGATAAAATTAACACTGGAAATCAATGAGATATAAAATAAAACAATAGAGAATATCAATAGAATAAAGAGCTGGTTCTCTGAAATACAAATTTCTATACTGATAAAAGACAAATAAAAAACCTAAATAACCTGTACCTGTTTAAGAGATTCTATGCAGATATGGCTTCCTAGTGAATTCCATCAAACATTTAAAAAAATTCTATCATTTCTATACAAACTCTTTCAGATAATAAAGGACGAAATACCTTTCAACTCATCCTACAAAGCCAACATTACGCTAATATCAAAACCAGACAAAAGACAGTAAAGCAAAACTATAAAGCAAAGTCACTCATGAATACAGACACAAAAATCATCAACAAAAACTTATCAAATCAAATCAGGCAATACATGAAAAAGATAATGCATCATGACCAAGTAAGTGGGGTTTATTCTAGTAATGCAAGGCTGGTTTAACATTTAAAAATCCAAAAGTAATCAACAAATAGTGAACAACTGAACGTGCACATGTAAAAAAAACAACTTAGACACAATACAGGCCTTCCACTCTTCACAAAAATTAACTCAGAATAATCACAGACCAAAATGTAATACATAAAACTCTAAAACTCCTGGAAGATAAAACAGGAGAAAATGTGATGACCTTGGCTGTGGTGAGGACTATTTAGACACCACAACCAAAGGCATAATCCATGAAAGAAAGAATATGATAAGCTAAACTTCGTTAAAATGATAAGTTTCTGTGAAAGTGAGTCTAGGGAATCAAACAAGAAGCCAGACTGGGAGAAAACATTTGCCGAAGACCCATCTGATAAAGAACCTATATCCAAAATACAGAAAGAACTCTTAAAACTCAAAAATAAGAATATAAAGAATCCAATTTAACAATGGGCCAAAGAATTTGACAACTCAGAGATGGCAAATAAGCATATGAAAAGATGTTCCACATCTTATGGAAACACAAATTAAAACAACAACGAGATACCACTACATACCTACTAGAATGACTAAAATCCAAAACTCAACATCAAATGTTGGTAAAGATGTAGCAACTGTCATTCACTGCTGGCAGGATGGCAAACCGTTACAGCCACTTGGGCAGTTTGTTCCAAAACTTAAAACTCTTACCATAACAATCCACCATCACACTCTTTGATATTCACCCAGAGAACCAGAAAACATATGCTTACACACAAACCTGCACAAAGAGGTTCATGGCAGCTTTTATTCCTAACTGCAAAACTTGAAAGCAACCAAGATGTCCTTCAATGGGTAATGAATAAACAGTAGTGTATCCAGACAACGGAATGAATTATTAAGCAAAATAAATGATCTTAAAACTAAAAAATGAGGGGCGCCTGGGTGGCTCAGTCGGTTAAGCGTCCGACTTCGGCTCAGGTCACGATCTCGCAGTCCGTGAGTTCGAGCCCCGCGTCGGGCTCTGTGCTGACTGCTCAGAGCCTGGAGCCTGTTTCACATTCTGTGTCTCCCTCTCTCTCTGACCCTCCCCGTTCATGCTCTGTCTCTCTCTGTCTCAAAAATAAATAAACGTTAAAAAAAATTAAAAAAAAAAACAACTAAAAACTGAGCTACCAAGCCATGACAATACGTGGAGGAAACTTTAATTCTTATTTTTAAGTGAAAGAAGGCAATCTGAAAAAGCTTACTGTAAAATCCTATATGATTCCACCTATGACACTCCAGAGAAGGCAAAACTATGCAGACAGTACAAAGATCAGGGATCTTTTTGCCAGGGACTGAGAGATGGGGTAAGAAACAGGCAAAGTGGAAAGGATTTTTAAAGCAGTAAAAAGGGGGCGCCTGGGTGGCGCAGTCGGTTAAGCGGCCGACTTCAGCCAGGTCACGATCTTGCGGTCCGTGAGTTCGAGCCCCGCGTCAGGCTCCGGGCTGATGGCTCGGAGCCTGGAGCCTGTTTCCGATTCTGTGTCTCCCTCTCTCTCTGCTCCTCCCCCATTCATGCTCTGTCTCTCTCTGTCCCAAAAATAAATAAACGTTGAAAAAAAAAAAAAAAATTAAAGCAGTAAAAATAACATGATACCAAAATGTTGGATACATGTCATTATACATCTGTCCAAACCCACAGAATGTACAACACCAAGAATGAACCCTAAACTATACACTTTGGGTGATAATGATGTGTCAGTGTAAGTTCATCAATTACAACAAATGTACCACTCTGGTGTGGGAGGGTGCTGATATTGGGAGGCTATGCATACGTGTATGTGGGAAATCTCTACCTTCCTGTCAACACTGCTATGAAATCTTAAATGGCTGTATAAAAAAAAAAAAAAAGTCTTCATAATAAAATGTTAGTAAAGTCTCCTCAAAATATCAACAGTAACTCATGTTACAGAATAAAGAGGAAAAGCCACATGAATATCTTAAGAGAAGCAGAATAAGCCGTCTGACAAATTTTAACATCTCGTGACTTAAACAAGAGTAATACTTTAAGCAACCTACTGCTGACATCACATGTAATGGTGAAAGATCAAGTACTTCCCCCTAAGGTAGGGCAGAAAGCAAGAAGTCTGTCATTACTTCCATTCAACACTGTTCCAGAAGGTCTAGTTAGTGCAGTCAGGAAGAAGAAAATTTACAGAGCACACGCATGAAGGGAAAAAGTAAAACAAACCCTTTATTTGCAGATAACATAATCATATAGATGGAAAATCCCACATGATCTACAAAAGAAGCTTCTAGGCCTAATCAGTGAAATTAGTAACATCACAAGATTTAAAAATGAATACATAAAAATCAACTATATTCCTATATAAATTACAAACCCCAAAATTTTAAATATTTTTTATGTTATTCACATATGTTATTTTTTATTTTTATTCACATATGTTATATTTTATGTTATTCACAACAGCATCAAAACCATGAAAATACTATGGATAAATTTAGAAAAATATGTCCAACACATGGACAATAAAGGTACAAAATATCACCAAGAAGAAATAAAAAACTAAGTAAATAGAGATGTCATGTTCACTTATCAGACTCAATTTTGATAAAATGTCAACTCTCACAGAATTTACCTACAAATTAAATACAATCCCAAACAAAATTCCAAAAGTCCTTTTGTAAAAACTAAGCAGATTCTGAACTTCATATGAAAATTCAAGAACCCTAAAATAACCAGAACAATTATGAGAAACAAAAAGTTAAAATTACCAATACCTGCTTTCAAGACATTACTATAAATTATAATAACCAAAACAGGGTAGTAGTGGCATAAGGATAGATATACAGGTCAATGGAAGAGAAGATAAATACCAAAAAGGGACATATGTACATGGTCAATTAGTAGTCAACAAAGATTCAAAAGTAATTCAGTGCAGAACTGCTGGTCCAAGATGGCAATATATAGGGAGACACTGACCTCACCACCTCCAGGGACACACTAAAACTAT